TGTGTCGAAGCGCATCCATTACACAGTGTGTCGCTCGTACATATTTTGCTGGCCATTCCAACATTCCACTAGGGAACGTTTATACTGGATAGGAATAAAACTAGTGAAATGAAGATATTGTCCATTCGATGTCTGTTTACGAAGTGTAGACCGCTTAATCGTTCTATGGTCTCTCCTGGTCAATGAGATATCCAGGTAACTGAGTTTGTTATCCGATTCGAATTCGGAAGTCACTCGGATATTTGGATGAATATGATTAAATAGAGTAATACAGTTTTCAATAGATTTAATATTATTACCAACAATGAGTGTATCATCCACAGAACGTTTATATAGCATAAATTCTCCAAGCATACCTTGGATTCGTTTCTCCAATTTCGACGGTGTTTAACTATGTGTTTGAAAAACCAAATTTTGTGGTAAATTTTTATCACAAATTATTATCTCACTTGAAAGAACCATTGAATATTGGAAACTACTGAACACCTGTGAAAGAATCCAAAGTTGTGAACACTTACACCTGTCACTGATGATCTACTTGAGGATTATTAAGCTGTCATATCCTAGCAGTAAAATAGTCATGTGATCTGCTCGCAACCTGTTTGTCGAGAACTCGATTCACCGCAAAGTTCGTGGGTGGGTACGCACAACTGACGAATCCCGGAATAGGACGAAACATCTGCCTAGTATTCTAAGTATCTTAGAGATTCCTTCTAGTCAAGGCTAGTTAATCAAGAATCTAACCGTAATTTCGATTGTTTTTGCAGATGGGTGTCGCTTTGAACTAAATATATACTCCTGGCAAACAAAATTAACTGACCATAATATTTAATGTAATTGTATCGAAATAAGGTTTTAGAACTATGGAATGTTCATTGTTGATTTTTATCAAATAAGGGTCTTAATGTTGCATATGACACATTAACTGGAAACAGATTCCATGAAAAATTAGTCACTAAGCAGGCGGCCAAGAGAGAAGCAAAGAATCCTTCTGTATCTGTTTTAATAAGAAGCTTCTCTCTCTTCATTTATATACGACTGCAATCCAAAGGTGATAGGTATACACCAAGTGGTGAAATAATAACCAGCAACAAGTTGAGAAAATCGATTCAAAGAAGGTCTATTGTCAGTAAGCTGAAGCTGAAAGATGACATACCTAGGATAGCCACCTCCTGTGGACACAATTATACATTGTCTGTTAACCGTTCTAAGAATCTGATTTTCTGTCCTTGTGAACACTTATCAGTCAGGTTAAATAAAGCTGTTGTTAAAACCGTCAGCTGTTCGATAATAACTGATTGAAAATGCCCATTAGAATTTTTCAAAAGAATGGTTACTCAACAAAGAATATTCTTTTCGATTGTGTCGTGAGAGACGTCTGTGAGCCGAAATTGTAGACAACAATTGACGCCAATGTTTACGTCCCGATTCAGGGTCATGAGAAAAAACAAAACAACAATAACAAAGTTTAACCATGAGGAAGCCACCAACCAGTCACAGCAGACTTAACGTGTGTAAACACGATTCGTAGATACAGTTGGCTTAACTTTCTGAGAAACGGTCACAAACGGTACAGAATAGCCTTCAGCAAGAAAACAACCAATCAGAAAACGATACTGCTCCTCTGACAATAATGTACATAAAAATCTATAAATATATCTGTTGATTTTCTCAATGAACAATCTGTTGCCTGGCCCTTGTCTTCTGTCGTTACATGATAACGTGATCTTCTTCAGCTTCTACAGTTGTATATTAGTGTTATTAACAACATTAATATTGTTTAAATAACATCGAATCAATAATAATAATGTCACAGGATTTCATCATGAGCTGACATTAGTTGGAGAACCATTGGAAAACCTGAGAGTACTGGACAGCTGTTTCGTCTGCCTAGTTTGGGACTCTTCATCAGTACGCACCCACCGGGATTCGAACCCAGGACCCTCTGGTCACAAGATTAGCGAGCTCGTATACCATAAAGCCACTGGGACTCGTCCAACAGACCATGAATTCTGCCAATTCGCGGGTCCCAGTGGCTTAATGGTATACGAGCTCGCTAATCTTGTGACCAGAGGGTCCTGGGTTCGAATCCCGGTGGGTGCATACTACTGAAGAGTCCCAAACTAGGCAGACGAAACAGCTGTCCAGTACTCCCAGGTTTTCCACTGCTTCTCTAACTAATGTCAGCTCATGATGAAATCCTGTAACCAATCGACCAAATCCCTACAAACCAATACTTGAAAAGTTATCAAATTATTCTAGATACTGAAACCTACAAACAGCACAGGCCATTGTAATTCGCTTAAGTCAACCGGAGCTGTGAGTGCAAAACAGGCAGATTCAGTCAATCATTGTTTCTACCTTGGACTTCTGTCGAGCCTATGAATGCATAAATTCTGTGTGTTACTGCTTCCCTCAACTTATCTGATATTCGATCAGTTCGTTCAATCTGAACGAAGAATATTCTTTTCAATAATTTCTTCTCTTCAGGCTCTTACATGTACAAAATATAATACTTGATGTCGTTACAATAACCATAGCAAAATATGCGGTGGATACATTTTTTTACGTAGAATAACAGATGAGTTATGTGGTGTCAAAATAAATAGTCGTATTTGTGTGACAAATGTCGTCTGGGCTGAAATCGATTGCCAAATATTGTGAAATGGGAGACAGTGGTGGTGATTAGTCATAATAGATTCGTAGAATGTGGAGTAGGAAAACCGATAAGTCAGTTCACGCTCGACACAGCTTTCAGGGTTATATACCGAATTCCGATTTCGTTATCACGTACAGTTCGCTTACGTCTGCTTCACATAGCTTAGGCTGTTGCAATAACCTTGACTAAATCAGAACTTTGTATCCCAAAAGAACACGTCCAGACACTGGCCAGACTTCGATTGATGATCCTTCTTCTCACCAAGATTGCTTCTTCCCCTTAACTCTCCTGGTGTTTTCTTTCTTTGCTTATTATTACAATTACCCTTCTTGTAAACATTCTCTCAATACTATCGAATTTTCCATTTATACTATCTCAATATACGCCTCCACCTGTTTCATCTCACACACTGGTTATTTCATTACGAACCTCTCATTGCAGTCTTACTATCTCCTCCTCTTTAATACATACTTCTTTGTACTAGCCACTCACCCGCCTGACACCTTTTATAACCTTGAACTGACTTGTCAACTTTCCTACCCCACATTCTACGAATCTATTATGACTAATCACCACCAATGTCTCCCATTTTACAATATTTGGCAATCGATTTCAGCCCAGACGACGTTTGTCACACAAATACGACTATTTATTTTGACACCACATAACTAATCTGTTATTCTACGGTGTGGCAATGGGGTCGCCACTAGGACCCATTCTAGCCGACATTTTCCTGGCGAAACTAGAAAATGGGCCTTTGAAAGATGTTATTAATGAACTCGAATTTTATTGTCGATACATGGATGATACTTTTTTGATTATGAAGAACGAAAAGGAGGCAAAGAACATCCTGGATAAATTTAATGAGGTACATCCTGCAATAAATTTTACTATTGAGAAAGAAAAAGACTCTAGTATTTCATTTCTAGACGTCTTTATGACCAGAAAAGAGAATGGCACAATAAGAAGAAGTGTTTATAGAAAACCTACATCAACGGGCCAGTACACACATTTTTTCAGCTTTGTGCCATTGAAATACAAACGCAATCTAATAAAGTGCTTGGTCCACAGAGCAAGAAAGATTTGCTCGGATGAATGTCTTGACGGGGAGCTTAACAATATTAAACGGTTGCTAAGTGAGAATGGTTATCCCGAAAAGTTTATTGATAAGAATATGAATTTAAAACCAAAACAGTCCAAGTTACCAACAGTTCCAAAGAAAGCCTTGTTCTTACAGATGCAGTTCCTAGGAGACAACATAAGTGAGATACTAACACATCGCCTCAGAAATGTGGTAAAAGGAGCATTCCCTGCTGCTCAATTACGCTGTATCTTTAAAACCACTCCTCTTCTGCGTTCGGGAATAAAAGACAAACTGCCTAATTTCGCCTCTTCCATGTGTATATACCAATTTAACTGCTCCTGTGAAGTGAGCCAGTTACATAGGCCGTACAATTAGGCGTGTTTCTCGTTGAATTTCCGAACATCACCCTGCACAGTGGTTGGTTAAGCAAAGGTCAAACAAAATCTATTCGCAGCGCTATTCTGGCGCATCTTGTGGATACAGAACACAAGATTGACGTTAATCATGCTTTCAGGGTCATTAACCGCATACCTACGAATCTCAATTTCGCTTTAAGAGTTCGACTTCTAAATATTGCTGAGGCTGGCTGTTGGGATTCATATTAATAAGCCTAATTTATGCACCCGAAAGAAGTTAGTTCAGTCATTATCATTACCTTGGCCATCCAGGTTTGAATAATCCAGAATTTTTGTGAAATTTCCCTAATTTTAGTTGATATTCTATTCGCTGTTATATCTTGATTACTATTATAATTTAGGCATCTTTAATGAACTGTAATTCCATTGCGATCTCACTTTACAAATCGATATTATTTGAAAAGCGCTAATATTGTTATTAACTACTATTTTAAAATATTCTATGTGTATATAAACATATATATAATTGTAGATAGAGCCTGGAAGAGGAATTTATCGAAAAGAATATTCTTTGCTCGATTATTTTGTGTTTTATAAAAAAATGTATCCACCGCATAACTGGCGACAACAAATCTTATATTTTATAATTGTAAGTACCTGAAGAGAAGAAATTATTGAAAAGAATACTTTCCAGTCAGACTGACTTTTAATTCATAATGTGAGAATATTCCACACTATTAGATCAGTTCAGTTTTGTATTAATGCAGATTATCTCTCACTTACTGATGCTTTCCAAATTTAATCTGTTGACATTGATGATTGATTCAATGTAATTTACAGCGACATTAGTGTTTTTAATAATAATAATAATTCTCTAATTATTATGTTTACATTTTTACAGGAATTTACCCTTGTCTATCTATATTAGTATTACTATGGTAACATTTATTTACGTCTTAACAAATATGGCATATTTTGCAGTACTTCTACCTGTTGAAATTATGCAGTCGAATGCAGTTGCTGTGGTAGGTTCTACTTCTAGCGACTTATCAATTTTGTCTTTTTGTTTTTCGTCGAAAACTTTCACCTTTCACTTATAATGATCATGATAGCTTGATTCTGAGATGTTTGTTTTATGAAAAAGAGAAGACATTCAGCGAAGAGACTCTTTTCGGCGAATTCATTCACATAGCTGTACAATCGCATTTATATATAATTATTTGTGTGTGTGTGTACATGAGGTTTGTCAAGTTTAGATAATTGATTAGTTAATACAAGGATGATGTGGTATAGAGACAAAGTTAATCAGACAGCAACTAAGGTAAGATTGAGTTAGTAAGCTAGATGACGTAATATAATTGACTAAAATGCTTCAACTTAGGTCAGGATAGCAACAGAGGTAATTACAGGTAGAGACTAAATAAAAGAGAAATTGAGTAAATAAGTTGGATGACGTAACATAAATGACAAGAAACTGAGCGTTGTTCAAGTCAGTAACAGTGGTAGTGAGGTGTAGAAATTGAATCGGGTGGGGGTAGAGAACAAAAAAGTTGAAAATGTAAAATGTTATAATTGAGAAGACAAAATAATACTAATGAGGAGACAGAAGAAAAGATTAGGTAGAATTTTCTTGTCGGCTAATAAGATGGATTACGTCCATTGCAAGTGTAGTGATTGAAAGAACTTCTTCTGTATGCAGAGTTCAGGATTTAGCAAGTGAATCGCTATTGCTTCTGCAGTTTGAAGAAGTCTGATTCGTACACCTTTAGAGAGAATACTTCTTACTCTGTAGACGACTTTGAAGTTTGTTTGCGGTGTAGCTTGGTGTCCGGATTCTATCAGATGTTCTAAGATGGAACTGCGGGGGCATCGATTTTCTCCTTTGTAAAACCATGTTGGTAAGTGCTCGGTGATACGTTTGGAAAGCGAGCACTGAGTACGGCCGACATACCTGGCTCCACACGAGCAGGTGAATTGATAAATGCACATTGATGAGGCCAGCAGCGGTAGCTTATCCTTCACGTTCACATAAATCATAGGTTTTGTGGAGAAGGTTAGTCGTAGTTCAGCTGAGAAGAAGGTCTTCTTAAGTGAGCGCGACAGTCGATTTTATAGTGTTTCCGCAGATAAATCTCCATTGAATTGAAGGTTCATGTAGAGTAGGTTTTTCTTGACGCTAAGCATGGGCGGCTTTTCTGGTCTAGGATTCATAGATTTTGCAATAAATCTTTCTGGATAGCAATTCTCGACGAGGATTCTCTTGAGGTTGTCCAGTTCATCTTCTATAGTGTCCGGGGTTTGTTTTAAACAGAGTAGAGAAATTTCAGCTGATTCTAGTGTGAGGTATTCACTCCCAGTGCCATAATAATAATAATCTACTTTATCCCAAAAACAGTACTTATAATACAGAATGGAATTCTCAGCATTTGTCATAATATTGCATCTGATTTACTTAAAATATAAACAAAATTAACCAGAGGAATTTGTCCACATTTACGGTAAAAAGTCAAAAATTGAGATTATTAAATTAATAATAATAATAATAGTAGTAACAGTGAGTTTGTTTCAAACAGTATTGTCGATTCAGTTTGGAAATTTTAGCATGTTATAGATTATTGAATCTAATGTTCTGTTGATATAGCAGCATGGTGAGGGAAATACAACATTAACAGTTATGACACAGCTTAAATTATATTCACACTTATGAAAAAATAAACAAACAAAAACAAAATATTGAGAGGATCATAAATATAAGAAATACAATAACAATTAAGTTTGATGTTGTAATGGTGGAGGAAATGGTTTATTTATTAGTGCAAAGAAGGTCAGTTAGTCAATTCATGCCTAACACTATTTTCATCACATAAAGTACTTGCGAAATATGGTTTAGTGGAATTTTTATACTTAGACGTACGTGCATAAAGTCTTCTGAAGTTACTTCTTATTTTACCTGAGGAGACACAAGGTTGAAGTTGTGGGTAAGGTGGATGTTCACAATCTGACAAAATTCCTTTAGCAAATGTGTTGCATGACCTCAAGTGCCTATCAGTGACAATGTCAACGATATGGCCCAATGAGATACCACTCGTCCTACTGACAGTCTTTAGAGTTCTACGAAGTATGACATAGTCTTTATTAAGCAATCCAGGATAGAATAAGCAGGGGTGAACAGTAAAGAAGAATAATTAAGATGCACGAGTTGACAAACTGTAAGAGGAGTGGTTGAGTTATGCCTGAGTGTCTTCACTTCTTAATGTAAAACGTCAGACAAAATATTCTCTTAGAAATCGCTAAGTCATGGAAGACCAGGATAGGTCAGAAGAAAGAATTAATCCAAGATACTTAACTTCACACTTGGTTTCTATATCACTATCATCAATTTTGCAAGGGTCATAGGAATCAACAGCTTCATATAACTTTCTTTTACATCATAAACTGAAATTAACAGTCTCACATTTGGAATTATTTAGCTTAAGACTGTTAAACAAATACCATTCGCTGACTACTGATAGAAAGCTGTTCATCTTAGTACAATCTAACTGGGAGTTAAGAGGCACTGAGACAGTCAGATCGTCCACATACTTAACAGAGTTCATTTCATCAGGGGCAAGTCATGCAAGAAGAAAGAAAACAGAAAAAGAGAAAGAACAGCGCTTTGAGGGACACTAGCCTCAGTAAGCAATGAAGTGGACGACTTCCCCTGACATACAGTGTACTGCTTCCTCCCTGAGAAGTAAGAATGTAGCTATCTGACAACCCAACAGTCAGTTTGAGTTTCAGCAAGCTTGTGTAACAAAATATCCCTACTGAGGTACTGAGTCGAAAGCAGATATGTAATCTAGGAAGGTGCAGAGAACAAATTTAGCCCCCTTGTTTAAGCTGGAGACAGTGCTGTTACATTTGAAGCATGCTCTACTACTCCTTGGAGTTTTTTTCCATTTCCTTTGTAATACTAGGTTGAAAACTTTTGGAAATGGTGCGTGAAAGTAGGTTACAATTCATGAACTCAGTTGGATGATTGATGCATTCTGAAATGCAGTAAATATGAGGCATTTTGAGGGGTGAAAAAATATTTTTGGTGGCCCAGTGGTTGATATATATATATTGATTTAATAGTGTGAAATATTCCCATCTATGGCGGCCTGCTTAAACCTTGGGCTACCAAACTTATGTTGCATCTGATTACTCGGATTTTATTATTATTATTATTGTTCCCTTGGGTTCCTAGTGGAACATAGGGCTTCAACTGCACGTCTCCACTTGCTTCTGTCTTCTGCTGTTCTTTTCACTTGCGTCCATGTTATTCCATACTGTTTCATCTCCTCCTCACACGATCTCCTCCATGTCACCCTTGGACGTCCCACTCGCCGCTTCCCTTTCGGGTTCCACTCGAGGGCTTGACGCGCGATGTCACTCAACGGCCTCCTCAGCGAGTGTCCAATCCATCTCCACTTCCTCCTGCATATTTGTTGGGCGATTGGTTCCTGTTTCGTTTGTTCCCATAGCTTCTTGTTTGTGATTCTTTCTGGCCATCTAATCTTCAGTATGGAGCGAAGACAGTTGTTGATAAAGGTCTGCAACCTGTTGAAAATATTCTTGGTGACCCGCCACGTTTCTGATCCGTAAAGCAAAATTGACTTGACGTTTGTATTGAAAATTCGAATTTTGTTGTTGATGCAGGCTGAGTGACGAAGATTTCCAGATTGGTTTTAGGTTGATGAATGTGTTTCTCGCCTTCCCGATTCTCGATTTGACATCCTCGTCCGTTCCTCCTGTGGTTGAGACAATGCTCCCTAGATAAGTGAAAGAAGTAACCTCTTTCAAATCCCTCCCGTTGATGGTGATTGGCACTGGATGTTGCTGCTGTTGTTGGTTGGTTATTTTCATAACCTCCGTCTTGTCTATGTTCACCTGCAGTCCTGTCTTTGCTGCCAGCCTCTTCGACCAGTTTGTCGGTTTTTGCTTGTAAGTCTTCGATTTTGTGTGACATCAAACATAAATCATCCGCAAAATCCAGGTCTTCTAGGTTCTTCACGTCGGTTCAGGATATCCCTGTCTTCTCGTTTCCCACTGTCTGACGCATAATCCAGTCCACCACAATTAGGAATATCATTGGTGATAATAAGCACCCTTGTCTGACTCCTGTGTTTACTCCAAACGCTTCGCTGAATTTTCCGTTGTGGATCACTTGACATTTGCCGTTGTCGTACAGCTGTTGAATAAGGTTGATGAATATTTGGGGTACGCCGTAGTACTCGAGTAGTTTCCAAATTACTTCGCGGTCAACGCTGTCGAAGGCCTTCTCAAAGTCTATGAAGTTGAGGTAGAGATTTGATTGCCATTCCATGCTTTGTTCGATGATAATGCGTAGAGTTGCAATTTGGTCAGAACATGATTTGCCTTTCCTGAATCCATTACTCGGATTTATTTTGTTTTAATTATTCAATTATGTATCCAAATTGTATTACCCGCGATTATTTAAAGTGTTTTCAACCTGATGATTTACGTGTTTATAATAACCTTAAGAAAAAGCATCATGGTGGGTGACAACGATCCTTAAAGTGTACTCCAATGCATCAGACGACTGTTCCTGTGATTATGAGCATAAACTGCAGATCATTATCGAACAAGATTAATTACTTGGATGCTCTATTATGTTCAAATATTTACCGCAATACAGGTGTAATAACGCTTCAAGAAACTTGGCTACACGATTCATATAATGACAGTTTAATCTCACTGAATGGTTTCAATATGTACAGACAAGACCGAAGTAGTTCAAGAAAGAAGCGAGGTGGTGGTGTTGCTACTTTTATCAATTCTCAGTTGTCTGTTGCCAACATCTTCTGTTTTAAATTCTCAAATGATAATATTGACTGTATCACTGTCAAATGCCGATTCAAGTCTACAAATCTATCATGACTAATCACCACCACTGTCTCCCATTTCACAATATTTTATATTCGAGTATTTATTTTGACACCGCTTAACTAATCTGTTATTCTACGTAAAGAATGTATCCGCCGCAAAACTGACCATTATTGTAACGACAGCAAATATTACATTTTATAATTGTAGGGACTTGAAAAAGACAAATTACTGAAAAGAATATTCTACATTCAGACTGACTTTTAATATAAATATTGGTTCCAGGATTTCATTATGAACTGACATAGGTTAGAGAACCACTGGAAAACCTGTAGGGAGTAATGGACAGCTGTTTCCTCCTAGTTTGGAACTCCACTCTGGGAGTACGCACCCACCCCACGGTTCGAACCCAAAACCTTATAGTTACAAGGTAAGCGATCTAGTTGACCATTAAGCCATTGGGACCCGATCCAATGACCAGTCCATGAATTTTAACTTCTGACAGGATAGATACTTGCCGAAAACATTGCCCAGTGGTCACGCTATATCGTGAATTGGTAGAAGTTGAAATTCATGGACTGGTCATTGGATTGGGCCCCAATAGTTGAATGGTCTACGAACTCGCCTTTTAACTCGTGTTTTTGAACCCCTTAGATGCATAGTGCTGAAGAGTTCCAAATTTGGGGGATACAGTTGTCCAGTACGCCCCACTGGTTTTCCAATGGTTCTCTAACTGATGGCATCCCATGATCAAGCCTGTAACCAATCAGATCCCAGGAAACCACCTCTTGACAGAATGCATTCTACAGCAGACGAAGAATGGAACACATGAGATTAATTACTGCCTAGTGTCCAAGAAAAATACATCAACAGATGCGTCCATACTAGGCGCGGAAATGCAAACTGAAATTAAGCATTTTAGATCTAATGAAACCAGATGAGAATGAGAATTTCAAAAGATTCTTCGATATACAGGCCAAGTTAAAGCGACTTGTGAAACCGGGATCAACTGTACATACCGACGAGTAGAAAGGCTATGATTCATTGTCATCCCTGAGATAAATTCAGCACAGAGTGAACCACTCCAGTGATTTCGTGGATCCAGTTACAGGGACTCATACAAATTCCATTGAAGGTTTTTGGGGTCGATTGAAAAATAGAATAAGGGCTATAAATGGATCGCGAAAGGATCTCATTTATAGTCATTTAGATGAATATATATGTATAGAATGTGGTGCGACTTCTCTATTGACAGTCCCATGCTGAATTGGGAAATGTTCCTCTCTCATGTTCGGGAAAAATACCCATTGTAACCGTTTTATCATTTTTTTTCATGCATTTTTCTATAAATATACGTTTCCGCTTATCATAAACGCCTCTTTCATGTGATTGGTCCGTTCAAGGTCGTTTGCTGATTGGTTGTTACTGCTGTCTAAAGTTTAACTTTGCCGATATATATATATATATATATTCTATCTCTGTTTCAAATGCACCTTAGAATTATAAAAGTTAGGAACTTTTCCCCTCCAAATCCTAATCTGATAAAGATTTTTTTTAAAAAAAAGCTTTATTGATGGTGTAAAATGTGATAAGGAAAAAGGAAAACCCATAAATTTTCCCATGAGGGGAAAATGTTCAAAATGTGATTATTTATTCATTGTATTAAGGTGGCTTTCCCCACCCCCCACGGCCCCTTGACTTTTGGTTAAATTCAGAGATTTTTAATCATTGTAGGGGTTATAAATAAAAAATGTAAAAGACGAAATCACATTAAGAAAAAACAACAGAGTTTTTGAAAATGGAAACATGGACGATGTTAGTTTTTTTCATCTTTTTTATACTAATGATAACCTCCTCTGATATGAACAACAATGATAAGACGGGATTACTAAAAGTTCTTGCAGGCATACTAATATGTATATGACTAGATCTCTGCTTATATAACTAACATATATACCCACCCCCGCCTTTGTTTTCAAGCAATTTATCAGAACACATGAGTGTGAGGACAGTTCAAAATAATACTTAATGATACGAAAATGAAGGCTGTTTAAAATATTAAAAAAAAAGAGTTTGGAAATATATTTAGACATTCTATACTACTTACAAATATATACAATCTAATAGTAAGTAGTAAGTTATTATTTTTTAGGCTAATTTGCATTTCCTGTTCATTCTTCGTATTCCATTGCATTCCAAGTGTGGAACGTAGAGTGGCTTCAAACATGAGCTCTAAAGTTTCTTTAGCAGCAGTGTGCTTTCTTCATGGGGCAGGATCGCTAGTCTCACACTAGCCCAACCTTCCACCTTTTTTACCGGGCTTAATACCACTTTACTGATTATGTTCTCGACCAAAATAACCTTTCTGTGTTGACATTTTAGCTCCTAATACGAATACTTTCACAACGTCTGAGGATTAACATGATGGCTATCAGTGAAATCCTGCAAGCATACGCACTTCGTCCCATTTGAGGCTCGTCACCTGGATTTGCCTATATTCTTAGTGAATGATATTTTTCCCACTGAAAGTACTTTCCATTAGACGACTAGGGTCAAAAAAAGCCGCCTCTTGTGCAACGGATACCCATTATTATCTGTTTTTGGGGTGGTCTGCATTCCCCGTTGATTGGTTATGTTGGGTTTCAAATGCTTAGTGTCTGTGTTAACATGTCGACTTGGGTCCCAGTGGCCTAGTGGATGACGCTTTATCTTTTGAAACGATAAACGTCGGGTAAGAATAGCAATCAATTCATATTGCGGACGGCTTGAATATATGTCTAGATAATGTTGACCAGCGGTGGAATCAAACAGGCTGACTTCGGCGTATTTACGACTTGTCACTTGGATGTAGATGATACTCTGGCATTTTAAATGATGAGTACAGAGTCTAAGTCTCAGTTGGGAACAGCATTACTCACCAGAGAATCCAGGTACATCCAGCTAATGAGTCCAGGACAGGACGAAATGTGTGTATCCTGATTGGATTTCACTGCAAGTCAACTAAAATATAACATTTGAGTTCACTTTAAAATTTAGATGTATTCTCCTTTTTTTATATTTTAGACATTTGCTGATAGACTATATGGTCAATTTTCATGGATAATACCAGTATGCGTTTCATTATCATGTTTCGGTGGTTTAAATGGACTTCTGTTTACATCAGGCAGGTGAGTATAATTTTAGTTCTTTAGTACAATTAGGCGTGTTTCTCGTCGAATTTCCGAACATCACCCTGCACAGTGGTTGGTTAAGCAAAGGTCAAACAAAATCTATTCGCAGCGCTATTCTGGCGCATCTTGTGGAGACAGAACACAGGATTGACGTTAATCATGCTTTCAGCAGGTTCATTTACCGCATGCCTACGAATCTCAATTTCGCTTTAAGAGTTCGACTTCTAAATATTGCTGAGGCTGTTGGGATCCATATTAATAAGCCTAATTTATGCACCCGAAAGTAGTTAGTTCAGTCATTATCATTACCTTGGCCATCCAGGTTTGAATAATCCAGAATTTTTGTGAAATTTCCCTAATTTTAATTGATATTCTATTCGCTGTTATATCTTTATTATTATTATTATTATTGTAATTTAAGCATCTTCAATGAACTGCAATAGCATTGGCCATACTTTACAAATCAATATTATTTAAAAAACGCTAATATTGTTATTAACTACTATTTTAAAATATTCTGTGTGTATATAAACATATATATAAATGTAGAGCCTGGAAGAGGAATTTATCGAAAAGAATATTCTTTGCTCGATTATTTTGTGTTTTATAAACTTTAGATTCTCTCCACTATATAAATACATTTCATAGTGTATTGATGACATGATATTATTATGTTACGCTGTTACATATATATGTATATCAGGAGAAAGCCAAATAGATGCCAGAAGAAAAATTAGCGAAGATAGGACTCTGAGTTTTGTTCAGTGAGGGAATACTCCCTTTTTCTAGAGGTACACACAAAGAAAGCCATTAATTCGCACTAGAATAATAATAATGCACATTAAAATCTATAAATATATCTGTTGATTTTCTCAGTGGACGATCTGTTGCCTGACTCTTGTCTTCTGTCCTTACAATCGAATGAAGTCCTGACAGATGAGAAGCAAATCAGTTCTCATCAGTGTTTTGCGTGTGATAGGTCGTAAACATCTACATTATGTACTGAAACTTCCATGTTTATCATCGTAATATTGTAGGAAAAAGAAACTGACTCGTGATATAATCTAGTCTTTGAAGTATAGTTTTGTTTTTCTAAAGTCTGTGTTTTCTGTGTTTTCCCCTTTGTTTTAGACTTAATTTTGTTGCAGCTAGAGAAGGTCAACTTCCTGCGCTGTTGGCTACTATTCATGCTAAACGTCTTACACCGTTACCATCCATCCTTTTAAATTCACTACTTGGTTTATTAATGCTTGTTGTTACTGATCTATTCGCCCTTATCAATTATGTTTCATTTGTTCAATGGTTATCTATTGCTGCGAGCATTTTGGGTATGTTGCATACATTTATACTGTCTTTCCTATTATTGTTATTTATCAATGTTATTTATAAGTATTGTATTAAACAAGATGGTTTAGTGTGAAAGAAACCCTTTTCAGCCTTTATTTCTTGCCAGACCTCATGAAACCTCTGCATCAACCTCTAGCGCCACACTACCTAGTCTTATTTATCTCAAACATCCATCGTCCCAGTTAGTCATGCAATACCAATCGACGCCTAAAGATGAAACCTCCATCCTCCTGATGGCACTGTTTGCAGTGCTTGATATTTCATAAAATCTTATCCGTATAAGCAAAATTGGTGCCAACACTGCAATAATGTTGAACACAAAGAGTAGGTTTTAGCCAACAACACACACACACACGCAGTGACACTGCCAAAAGCCATCCTATCCCTGTCGCCAAATATTATATTTTTTTGCAAACCGTTGAGTTGAAGTAGGTGCCCCGAGTAGTTGGACACAGACTGAGCAGTCTGATCATGAATACCGCTTGACTATGCCAGCAACACTGTACGACAGCTACTTATTTCCCCCATTTCACGAGAACACACACAACGATGTGAGTCGGAAAGTAAGCTTTACACAATAATTTATGATTCAAAATATCACCATGGATATATCAATCAATCAATCAGTCTGTCGTCGTAATGAAAAAAGAATAGTGGGCGTTATTTTTAATGTAGGCCAATTCTGATTGGTTGATTTCCAGACTGAATATTGACTAGCATATCACACTAATAAAGGATAATCCATTGTTTATTTGTCGACATATCATATCTGTGTCACGACTGATTCCTTTTTGAGATTGTACAATGTGAATTAAATTGACCACTGATCATTGGGGTGCAGTTGTTTGTATAGAGATGCTGGAGTAAATGTCTCAATAAAGTTGTGAATTTCTCGCGAAAGAAATCCGAAACGATAATCCAAACTATAGATTTAACCACACGTAGAGTGACGCGTAAAGTCAGAAATACAGGATATTCTGCAATACGGTACTTTATTACATAAAAATATTATTATTATTGTATCCTTTAATTCCTACAGGAACATAGGGCTTCAGCCGTGCGTCTCCATTGCGTTCGGTTCTCTACTAGAGTCTTCACCTGGCTCCAAGTCTGCCCACACGCTTTCATCTCCTCTTCACATGACCTCCTCCAAGTCACCCTTGGACGACCAACTCGCCGCTTCCCTTTCGGGTTCCACTCGAGCAATGGCTTGTCTAGTGATGTCACTTGATGGTTTCCTCAGAGTATGGCCAATCCATCTCCATTTCTTCCTGCATATTTGTTTCACAATCGGTTCCTGGTTGGTTCGCTCATTGCCAGAGATCCCTGTTGCTGATCTTTTCTGGCCATCTGATCTTGAGTATTGAGCGAAGACAACTGTTGATGAAGGTCTGTAGTTTGTTTGAGATGCTCTTTATGACGCGCTGGCCAAGTCTCTGATCCGTATGTACAGTAGCACTGACTTCACATTGGAGTTGAAAATCCGGATCTTATTTTTGATGCTGAGTGTTGTTGACCTCCACACAGACTTGAGAGTAGTGAAAGCTTGTCTTGCTTTTCCGATTCTTGCTTTGATATCCTCGTCAGTTCCGCCTGTAGTTGAAACGATGCTTCCCAGGTAGGTAGGTAAAGGAGGTTGTTTCTTTCAGGTTCCTCCCATTTATGCTGATTGTTGTCTGTTGTTGTTGTTGCTGTTGGTGGTGTTGCCCAGGAATCTTCATCACCTCTGTTTTATCTATGTTCACCTGAAGTCCTATCTTTTCTGGATGCTTCTTCTGCCAACTTGTTGCTTTTCGCTTGCATATCTTCCAGTTTGTGGGAAATCAGACATATATCATCGGCGAAGTCCAGATCCTCCAAGTTTTTTGTGTGAGTCCATTTTATGCCTGTTTCCTCATTGCCCGCTGTTTGTCGCATTATCCAGTCTACTGCAATCAGGAAAATCATTGGCGATAGTAGGCAGCCTTGTCTTACTCCTGTCCTCACTTCGAAGGGTTCCGTAAGTTTCCCGTTGTGGATTACTTGGCATACAGCATTGTCGTATAGCTGTTGGATGAGATGTATAATTGTCGGTGGCACCCTGTAGTAGCGAAGTAGTTTCCAAATCACCTCTCGATCGACGCTGTCAAAGGCCTTTTCAAAGTCGATGAAGTTGAGATAGAGAGGTGACTGCCATTCCAAGCTTTGTTCAATGATGATCCGTAATGTGGCGATCTGATCAATACATGACTTGTTTCTCCTGAATCCAGCCTGTTCCGGTCGAAGTTTTTCATCCAGGTTGGCTTGTTTGATTCTCTCCAGGATGATGCGGCTTAGTATTTTGCTTGGGATGGACAGGAGCATAATTCCGCGCCAGTTCTTGCATTGACTTAAGTCTCCTTTCTTTGGTAGTTTGAATAAGTATCCTTTCTTCCAATCTTCAGGTACTTTGCCTTCTTTCCACACCTTCTCCAGTAGTGGCGTCATCAAGTCCGCTGTTGTCTCTGGGTCCATTTTCAATGCTTCTGCTGGGATTCCATCTGGTCCTGCTGCTTTTCCAGCTTTCAGCATCTTGATTGCCTTCAGGACTTCTGATTTCGTCGGGGGGTTGGTGTTCACTGGTAGCTCTGTCTCCGTCGTTGGTATTGCTGGGCGCGTTGTAGGTGGTGGTCGATTTAGGAGTCTTTTGAAGTGTTCAGCCCAGTGTTTCCTTTGCTCCACTTCTTTGGTGATTGACTTTCCATTGTCATCCTTCACTGGCTTAATTTGTGACGAATTTTCGCCTGAGAGGTACCTAGTTGTTTGGTAGAGTGTTGCGAGGTCTCCTTTGGCTGCTGCTTGTTCTGCTTCATTGGCCATGGCTTCATAATACTTTCTTTTGTCTTCTCTGGCACTCTTCTTTACTCCTTTGTTCAGTGTATTGTAGCTTGCATTCAACTCCTGTTTCTGTTGCTCGTCGGTGCACTGGATAATCTTTTGTTTCACCATCCTTCTCTCTCCTATTAGCCTCCAAGTGTCTGTAGTGAGCCACGGTTTGTCCTGTCTCTTCTTTCTGCCCAGAACTTCCATGCAGGTTTCTCTCCATACTGTCTTCAAGTTGTTCCAGTGCTTTTCGACGCTGACCTCTTCACCAGTGTTGATTTGTGTCTTGGCTTTGTCTTTTATACTTGCAGTGAAGATATCCTTTGTGTCCTGGTCCTTCAGTTTTTGAGTGTTGAACTTGGCTTGTGGTCTATCTGCAGCCCCTGATTCTCTGAAAGCTTTTAATTTGATTTGGATTATGCCTTGTACGAGATAGTGGTCTGAGCCAATGTCTGCTCCTCTTCTTACTTTTGTGTCTAGCAGGCTGCGCCTCCACTTCCTTGAGATTGAGATGAAGTCGATTTGGTTTTTGGTTCGCCCATCTGGTGACACCCATGTAGCCTTGTGGATATCCTTGTGTTTGTATACGCTGCCACCAATCACTAGTTCATTAAAGGCGCAGAAGTCGGCGAAGAGTTCTCCGTTTTCATTCATTTCTCCCAGAGCTTCTCTACCCATGATGAGTTCCCTTCCTGTGTTATCTGATCCCAGTTTGGCGTTCATGTCTCCCATTAGTATTTTGATGTCACCAGCTGGAGTATTGTCCATTGTTGTCTGCAGTTGTCTGTAGAATTCTTCTTTCGTTTCGGGGTCTGCGTTGTTGGTAGGTGCATAGCATTGTATAATTGACACTTTCCTTCCTTTGGAGTTGAATCTGGCGGTTATTATCCTGGGCGAGATCGCCTCCCATTGCATCAGGGCCTTCGTTGCAGTTGGCGACATCATGATAGCCACGCCCTCGGTGTGTGTGTGGTTATCTTCTGGGTGACCGGAGTAGATCAATGACTCACCCGTTGACAATTTGGTGAGTCCATTCCCGTTCCATCTGCTTTCACATATTCCCAGTACTTGAACACCATATCTTTTCATCTCGTTTGCAATCTGGGCAGCTTTGCCAATCTCGTACATAGTACGGACATTCATGTCCCCACAAAGACTTTTTCTTTTGTCTCAAGGAGATACATCGTGCTGAAGTTTCTGTAGCAGGTTTGTTTACAGGGTGGGGTTGCTAGCCTCACGCCTGAGAAGGGGGGTTGTTACAGCAATTTATAATTTAGAGAGAAGCGACCTTGTGGGTTGCTCCCCTTAAAAACCAGGAAAACAGGGAATAAACAAGCAGAAAAACACCAGCACAGGAAAATAATTCACAACAAGAAGGGTAACAAGCGACAACAACAATAATAATATCACAGTCAATTACAGTTAACCAAAATGATACCAAAATCATAGACTCACTGACTTGAGCCAACTTGAACATGTAAATCCATCAATATATATACAATTATAGGTATTAGTTAGTGTTAATCAAGCACAGAGTGGCAAATAGATAGTTATAGGTGATATTGATATACAATATTATATCCAAGGATTCAGTGTTTCAAAGTCAAATAATTGTGAGAGTTTTTCGCAACTTTTTGATAAGATATTCCACAAAAATCTGAGTTTTTGGTAGTTATGAAAATGTAGCGCAGTTTTCGAAAAGCGCGAGCGATAACCATTACATAAAAATAGATATATAATATACAAACCTCAAAATGTGAGATGTCTGTGGCTAAATGCCGTCAAATGCACAACCACTGTGCAGTCAATAAGTAAAAACAGCAATGCTGTGTCAAGGTGGTCGATCCACGTGTCGGTTCAAACGGCCCGCGAATGCCAAGCAAAGGATAAACAAATATGAACAAACAACTTTCAATAGTAAAGCATACACTCACTATAGGGTAAGGTCAGCAAATAATGTTTAAGGAGAAGAAAAATAAGAACTATGCATTAATAGAATGATAATAGAACAAGTAATTTAACAGCAGTTGAAAGCAAATGTCATTTTTATAAATTAACATATAAAAATCATACTACTTACTAATGGCAAGTAGTATGATGTTGAACAAAGGAAAGATTGAGAATGAACAGGTAGGAAAGGAATTAACAAAAGTATTCAGTGTTTTCATGTACTTTCAAGTCGATTTTAATTTTCCCCATTGACCGATAATGTCGGTGGATGCGGCGAAATCAAGGATGCACACTTTGTCCCATTTGTGATTAGCCTCAGCTAAATGTACCTGCATTCCTCACCGATGGTGATCGTGTCCGCCACCCTGGAGCCGTGAACCCAGTTATCATAGTTCCAAGCGAAAAAAAAACATTATCAATAGGAAATGCAAATTAACCTGAAAATAAATGATAACTTATACTCGTTGGACAAGAGGTCAGTCACTCTTGTGGCCAAAGTGGTCTACTGGATAAGGCTTTGGTGTTTGGAACGATTCCTGAGATAATTGTCATGATATATTAGCATAACCTCAGTTTTCTGTTAGACACTGGGAACCACGGAATATACACATTGGGTCACAGGAGTTAATAAAAAGACAATTGCAGCGAAGAAAATTTTCTTTTCGACGAAGTCATCATCTAGGCTGTACATTCGTGTATTTATATCAAATGGATGGGAAAGTTTCAGAGTAATTTCTGGTTAAGAGTCAAATTAATAAAATTACAATTAGAAATTAGAATGCCATAATAAACAGGGGGATGGGTAAAACTCAAACAAAGTAGCATTATAATAACTAAGAAGATTGACATTGTGCAATTGGAGCTTAGAAATGTAAAAATAACAAAATATACAGGATGTTTGGATAAAAAAACGAGTGTGATGAATATTATTATTATTATTATTATTATTAAGACTATTAAGATTATTATTTGATTCCCAAAATCACCGTCATTGGTTAAAAATTTTATATATAAATCTATGTAAATTAGAGTAAAGCCTGAAGAAGATCTAATTGAAAACAATATTGTTCGCTTATATATCTTGTTCTGATGAATAATTGTTTATGCAATCAGGGATTAAATATATGTAGAAATAGTAAAATGACAAAATAAACAGGAAGTGTGGATATGAAAATATGGTAGTGTAGACAGGGATTAAGAAAAACTTAAAATAACATGAATAAACAGGAAATTTAGATAAGAAAGGCAATGGGATCGTCATTACAAAAAAACGTTTTTACCTGTTTATGATGGCCATGGTAGGCACAAGGGTTGGACATATTTCTTTTGGATACAAAGTGTGGGCTTGAGCCTCTGGCTGGCTAGCGCCTCAGTTATGCCCAGATGTCTTGATTTCACTCTCTTTGATAGGTTTGATTGAATCTTGTATATTACTTTGAAGGATTTTTCGAAAGGCGCTGAATGTCCTGAGTTGACCAGATGTTCTGTCACTGAACTGTATACACGTTTTTGCTCTCCTTTTTCTAGCCAGGCTGGGTAGTGTTCACGAGCGCGTTTTCCAAGTCGGCGCATGGTACGGCCAATGTACTCAGCTCCACAAGAGCAAGTAAACTGGTATATGCACGTTGAGGTGGCCCAATGCGACGGCTTGTCTTTCACGTTCTGGCTGAACAGTTTCTTGCAAGAAAACGTCAGTCGTAGGCTCGCGGCGCAGTATATTTTCCTAAGAGATTTGCAGAGGCGTTTGCGAAGGATTTCTGCTTCAATATCACCTTTGAATTCTAGATTAAGCAGAAGTATTTTCTTTGGAATGATGATGACTTCGTCGAAAATAAAATATTCTTCGCTGCAATTGTCTTTTTATTAACACTGGGAACCGTTAGGTGGGTTTTCCTGGACCCATTAATTATATCCTTCCTGATCAGTTTTCCACTGAAGATTCTTCAAGTTGGATCATTATTGCCATTCCTTAAGGTTGTCAGCGGAACATAAGGATTCATGATCACATCTGCATTTCGCCCTGTTCTCAGTAGTCTTGTAACGACAGAAGGCAAGGGTCTGATTGGTTATCTTCTTGCTGAGGGTTATTCTCTACTGCTTGTGACCTTTTCTCAGAAAGTTGAGCCATTTATATCTGCGAATCGTATTTGCACACGTTAATTCTGCTGTGACTGGTTGGTGAGTTCCTCAAGGTTAAACTTTGTTATTGTTTTGTTTTTTCTCATGATCCCGATTCGGGACGTGAACACTGACGTAAATTGTTGTCTATAGTTTTTGGCTTATTTAGTTGGCCGTAGTATTTAGCATAGGCTATCATCTCCTCCCCACACATACACATGTCACCACCATCGGACACCTAACTCGCTGTTCCTCCTTATTCGACTCCTGCTCAAGATCCAGGGGCGCGATATCATTTGACGGTCTCTTCAATGTGTGTCCGATCCACCTCCATCTTCTCCGGAATATTTGTTGAGCAGTACGTCATTGATTGGTTCGTTTCCACAGTTTCTTGTTTTGCTTATTCCTTCTCATCGGCCACGCAACCTTCGTTATGGAGGCACAGCACAGAAGGCAGCTGTTGATTAAAGTGTACAGGATCCTTTTAGAAATGCTTTCTGTGATGCGAGTGCCAAATATCTGACGCATACAGAAATTCCATATATCATTATTATTATTGTTCCCTTGGGTTCCTAGTGGAACATAGGGCTTCAACTGCACGTCTCCACTTGCATCTGTCTTCTGCTGTACTTTTCACTTGCATCCATGTTAGTCCATGCTGTTTCAAGTCCTCCTCATACGATCTCCTCCATGTCACCCTGGGACGTCCCACTCGCCACTTCCCATTTGGGTCCCACTCGAGAGATGGCCTATCATGTGATGTCACTTGATGGTTTTCTCAGAGTATGGCCAATCCACCTCCATTTCTTCCCGCATATTTGTTTCACAACTGGTTCCTGATGTGTTGGTTCGCTCATTGCCAGAGATCCCTGTTACTCGTCTTTTCTGGCTATCTGATCTTGAGTATTCAGCGAAGACAGCTGTTGGTGAAGATCTGTAGTTTGTTCGAAGTGACGCTCTACGTGACGCGCTAATTCTCTGATCCGTGTAGTAATTATCACTGACTTCACGTTGGAGTTGAAAATCCAGATCTTATTTTCCATGCTGAGTGCTGCTGATCTCCACACACTTGCATATCTTCCTTAAGGGGACAAAGTTTATCTCTGAAAGAATCAGTTGGTTGGTTGGTTTAAATACCATTCTAATTCGAGTCTGATTAAGAAGCCTATCTATGTACAGCTTCTGATGTTCCTTCTTTGCATGGCAGTTCTTTAGAGGCTATGAATTCTCTATTATTTATGTTATTTTTATCAAGTTCACTGCTAGTTTTATTTTTTCTGTGGTTCTTCATACATTTCTGAATAAATTCTGCTGGGCATTTAGTTATTCCCCAGTGATTTTTTCCTTATATTGTATGATTGCATTATTTAAATCTTCTGGTTTACTAGTGAGGTTCCTAGCCTGACACTTAACTAAACCCATCTTTACCGATTCTGGATGGGATGAATTAAAGTCTAAATCTTCAGAGGCTGTACAATCATATTTATACTTACAAAAATATATAGTGGTCTATTATTGAGTAATAGGGGGTGACATAATTGATATAATTACTCAGAAGAGGCTTTAGAAGTGAAAATTAAAAGTTGTAAATTACGTGGTACTCAATGGCACAAAGAGAGAAATTTGATAAGGTTAAAATTACTATTAAATGAGAATAAAGGTATTTGAGTGTCAATTTAACAAGTGTGAAGAGGGTGTGAAAATATACAAAAGGAGCATATGAGAGTGATAATAGTGAATTAATTATTAAAGCAAAAGCTAACTAAAAGTGAAATTAGAATGAAAAGAAAAAATCAAAATATATTTTATTTACAAGGAACGATTAGTGAAGAGGTTAAGACCAAGGTAGCATGAGAGACTGGACAAACTTTTTCTGTATACAGATTTCAGGGTTGTATTGATGAAGATGTAGACTGTCTGACTGCCTGATTGGGGTCCTCGGGATGGTAGAAACCAATGAAGGCTGGAGACAATTGGTGATAGTGCTCAAAATCGTCGTTCTCAATGTCTGGCGCAGATGCTTCCACTCCTTGTAACTTATAATTTCCAATAAAACAACATGTTACTTCGATATTACTATTCTTTTTGCCTCAAATCTGTGTTTACTGTGTCTGTTTTGCGTTCCTTTTTACTCTCTTCTCTTCCTGTGTACTGAGTGAAGTGTGGCGATTCGAACTACTGCACATCGGTGCAAAGTTCTACGTTGAAACCAGTCAGTCAGTCAGTCAGTTAGAGGTAGGACGACGTGAACATCCTGGATACCATTAATCATCACTACCAACCAAATAACATCAACTTGATCTCCAGGCAACATCAGAGCATCCTCACTAGGAACCGCCGTGCCAACACAGACGGAATACTTCTGTCCAATATAACTATTCGAGGCTAAATTCAGAATAATAATAATAATAATGATAATAACTTCAAATTGCTGATCGCATTAGGAATATTTCACCTAGTATATGAACGCTGATCATTGTGTTATATGCATTTTCTCTGTATATGTGTGTATGTGTGTGTGTGCGTGTGTGCGTATTGTTAATCTCTCATCCATACTTCTTTCCCCTAACTCACACCTTCTCTTCTTTTTTTTGTTGTAAGGTATGATGTATCTCCGCTACAGTCAACCTGATATTCCTAGACCAGTCTGTTTACCGCTAATCATTCCAATCACATTCTTGCTAGTATGTTTATTTCTGATTATTATGCCAATATTTCAAACGCCTAAAGAAGTATTGATTGGTCTGGTAATTGTTCTCTCTGGTATACCAGTTTACCTAATTGGTATTGTATGGAAATCGAAACCGAAGTCTTTTAAGCGAATCTATGGTGAGTGAAGTACTTAAATAGTTTATTTGGATCCCGTTATTGTTATTATTATTATTATTATTATATTTTTTAGGTTGTGAGTGGTACATAGGGCTTCAACAGCACATCGCCATTTCGTCCTGCATTCTGGTCTTCTTCTCACGCGATCTCCTTCATGCCACACTTGAATTGACGCCCAACTCATCGTTTTCAGTTCAAGCATCCCGCTAACAGAGACTAATATAATTTGGCACTACTGACATAGTTAGTGATAAGTAATCCGAATGGGGGGGGTGCGCCGGTGGCATAGCGGTTAGGACGCTCGCCGACCATGCACATGGTCCGGGGTTCGATCCCCGGCCACTGGCCGCATTCCTTTACCTCGCTAAGCCAGAACTAAAACTGGTGAAGAGGAAAGGTTGGGCATGAGGCTGGCTAGCAACCCCATCCTGTAAAATAAACACTGCTAGAGAAACTTCAAGCCTCTAGCTTGGAGCCCTATGTTCCACTGGGAACGTGAAGGAATAAAAAAAATCCAGAGGGGGGCTGGATTATGCTGAGGAATGTGGGGGGGGGCAAGAAAATACGATCACGTTGGGCCGATAAGAAGACCTTAGAAGATGTGGGCTTAGCGGACGATTTACGCCTAATGTCACACAAACTGGGAGACTTACAGGTGAAAACCCACAGGCTGGCAGAGGGGGCGGACAGAAAAGGGACGAATTCAAGTAAGCACAGAGAAGACGGAGATGATGAAGATAACTAACCAACTACAAGAAGCATGAATCACCATCAGTGGAGGAAATTTGAAGGAAGCCATCTGTTTAAGTCAACTAGGCAGTATCGTTTACACTATATACGGCGTGGATGAGGTTGTCAAAACCAGGATCGGATAGGCAAGACAAACACCCTCATCACTCTGAAATCAGTGTGGAAATCTGCCGCACTCAACACGAAGAACGAAATTCAGATTTTCAACACTAATGTTAAGTCACTTCTACTATGTGGATCAGAAACTTGGCACTGGCGTCGCGCAAACCATTTCCTACAGGTCACTTCAGATGTTTATCAACAGTCATCTTCACCGGCTCCATACTGAAGATCAGATAACTGATCAGAAAGAATCAGAAATGAGAAACTCTATGAGAACGAACCAACCAAGAATCTATTGCTCAACAAATATCCCAAAGGAAATGTAGATGGATCTGACATACTCTGAGGTACTCGAGTGGAAGCTGAATTGGAAACGACCAGCTGGGCGTCTGAGGGTGATATGTAAGACATACTATGAAGAGGAGATGAGAGTTTGTGTGCAGTCGTTGATTGCAGAGAAGAGGATGAAATGGAGATGTTCCATTGACGTCCTATGATGTTCCACTGTGGACCCAAGGAAGTAAAAACAATAATAATGTAATAATACTCAGGCTGATCAATTTGCATCCGTGTAATGTTGACCAAATTGCAACTCTACGCATCATCATCGAACAGAGCATGGAATGGCAATCAAATCTCTACCTCAACTTTATAGACTTTGAGAAGGCCTTCGATAGCGTTGACCACGAAGTAATTTGGAAACTACTCGAGTACTACGGCGTATCCCAAATATTCATCAACCTTATTCAAAAGCTGTACGACAACGGCACATGTCAAGTGATCCACAACCGAAAACTCAGTGAAGCGTTTGGAGTAAACACAGGAGTCAGACAAGGGTGCTTATTATCACCAATGATATTCCTAATTGTGGTGGACTGGATTATGCGTCAGACAGTGGCAAACGAGAAGACAGAGATATCCTGGACGGACGTGAACAAACTAGAAGACCTGGATTTCGCGCGTGGATGATTTATGTTTGATGTCACACAAAATCGAAGACTTACAAGCGAAAACCGACAAACTCGTCAAAGAAGCAGCAAAGACAGGACTGCAGGTGAACATAGACAAGAGGGAGGTTATGAAAATAACCAACCAACCAACAGCAACAACAGCAGCAGCAACATCCAGCGCCAATCACCATCAACGGGAGGGATTTGAAAGAGGTTACTTCATTCACTTCACTTATCTAGGGAGCATTGCCTCAACTACAGGCAGGAGGAACGGACGAAGATGTCAAATCGACAACTCGGGAAGGCGAGAAACACATTCATCAACCTGAAACCAATCTGGAAATCTTCGTCACTCAGCCTGCATCAACAACAAAATTCGGATTTTCAATACAAACGTCAAGTCAGTCAGTTCTTCTATACGGATCAGAAACTTGGCCAGCGGGTCACAAAGAATATTTTCAACAGCCTGCTGCAGGTAGACCTTTATCAACAACTGTCTTCGTTCTATACTGAAGATCAGATGGCCGGCCGGAAAGAATCACCAACAAGAAACTATGGAAACAAACAAAACAAGAACCAATCGCTCAACAAATATGCAGGAGAAAGTGGAGATGGATTGGACACTCACTGGCTGAGGAGGCCGCTGCGGGGTGACATCGCGCGTCAGGCCATTGCTCCAGTCGAACCCGAAAGGGAAGCGGCGAGTGGGACGTCCAAGTGTGACATGGAGGAGATCGTATGAAGAGGAGTTGAAACAATATGGAATAACATGGATGCAGGTGGAAAGTACAGTAGAAGACAGAAGCAAGTGGAGACGTGCAGTTGAAGCCCTATGTTCCACTAGGAACCCAAGGGAACAATTATAATAATAATGTTATAACAAAGTGATTTTTTTGATTTTGAATGATCTACTCATTCATACTGGAACTGACAAATCATACTGATTAAAATATGTTAACTAGAGATCTGAGATTGAGTCAAAATTATCACGTTATGTTACAAATTTGCGGGTTTTTTAAAAGAGACGTCAATTTTCCAACCTAGTCTTAGATTGGATTATGCGTGTAATAATACAGAGTTCTACGTCTTAACAAAAAAGGCTGATACATTCTCATTATATTTCTATTTATTCCTTTACGCTCCCAGCGGAACATAGGGGGCTTCAAAGTGGTGGCTTGAAGTATTGGCAGCAATGGCGTTTATTTCGACGGGATGGGGTTGCCAGCCTCATGCCCAACCTTCCCTCTTTATCAGTCATATTACTGGTTCGGTGAGGTAATGGAGGAGTACCTCGGTTGCCGGGGATCGAACTACGAACCACATGAGATGCGGCCGGCGACCATTCTACCGCTGTGCCACCAACGCACTACATTCTCATTAGCTACTACTAAATCTTCAACTGATGTCAATCTGTCACGGAAATTTCCTTGAAACGTAGTACCTTTCAACAAACCATTCACTTGATGAAATTGATAAAGAAAATAGGTTCATGTGCAGAAGCTTCATTAGTGTGAATTATTACTGATATTTTTCCGTTGCGCATTCATTGCTTTCTGAGAAGAAAAACGGGGCCTCAGTGGCACCTCTCCCTAATGTACTAGGTTCCCTGCTAGCTTTTATCTCCCCTTCACCCTCAAATGATATTCAGCATATATCATCTTCGGACGCCTAACTCGTCGCTTCTTACTCAGTTTACAAACGACGTCTTACGTGTCGTATGATGTCACTTGAATGTCGCTTCAACGTACGTCAAATCCGCCTCCGTTTCCTCTTAAATATTTGTCCAGAAACAGTCTCTTGGCTATTTCTCTAAACTGCTAGAGTCCCTTGTTGCTTATCGATTCCAGCTGGCCACCCAATCTCCAGCAGTGAATCAGAAAAGGTATCTATTTATAAAAGTCTGCAGCACCCTGTTGAAAATGATTTTTGTGTTGAGCGCATCAAGTCTCTGAACCACACAGAAGTACTAATTTGACATTGGTTTTGAAAATTCAGATCATGTTCTAATCTCAAAGTAATGAAGGTGTGCCGTGCTCTTCTGATTCTGCCTTCAACGTACTCATCTATACCGCTGGGATAGCTGAAACGATGCTGCTCGGAGGTGACTACTTTTAGATTTCTCCCGTTGATAGTGATTGATGCTTCTTGTTGTTGTTGTCGGTCGCTGGGTGTTAATTGCTTTCCTACCTGTTCATTCTCAATCTTTCCTTTGTTCAACATTATACTACTTGCCAGTAGTAAGTAGTATGATTTTTATATGTTAATTTATAACAATGACATTTGCTTTCAACTGCAGTTAAATTACTTGTTCTATTATCATTCTATTAATGTATAGTTCTTATTTTTCTTCTCCTTAAACATTATTTGCTGACCTTACCCTATAGTGTATGCTTTACTACTGAAAGTTGTTTGTTCATATTTGTTTATTCTTTGCTTGGCATTCGCGGGCCGTTGAACCGACACGTGGATCGACCTTGACACAGCATTGCTGTTTTTACTTATTGACTGCACAGTGGTTGTGCATTTGATGGCATTTAGCCACAGACACCTCACATTTTGAGGTTTGTATATTATATATCTATTTTTATGTAATAAAGTACCGTATTGCAGAATATCCTGTATTTCGGACTTTACGCGTCACTCTACGTGTGGTTAAATCTATAGTTTGGATTATCGTTTCGGATTTCTTTCGGGAGAAATTCACACTGGGTATCTTCATTACATCTGTCTTCTCTATTTTCACTTGAAGTCCTGCCCTTACTGCCTCTTCTTCTTCTGCAGATTTTTGGTTTTCGCTTGTAGATTTTCAAGAAATGTGACATTAGACATAGATCGTCCTGGAAGTTCATGTCTTCTAGTGTCTTGTTACCGATCCAACGTATTCCCACCTTCGCACTCCCCACAGCCTGTTGCATGGCCCAGTCCACCACGATTATAAATATCATTGTGGGTGTTATTAGGCAGCCTTTTCTTACTCTTGTCTTCACTTCGATGAATTCGCCGAGTTTTTCTTTGATTTGTGTGTATTAGCATAAAAACAAATTATAACTGAAAGCCGTTTCATAATAAATGGCTCTCGTGACCCAAAATGTCGAGTGCACAAGTTTGAAATGATGGGTACTGGGCTTAAGTTTCAGTGGGAACGACATCACTTACTGAGGAATGCAGGTGCACTCGGTGTCGAGTCCAAAATAGGACGAAACGCATATCTATTGGATTCCACTGGTGGTCACCATCAAGCGAAATTAATCCATACTAGGGGACGACAAATAAACACAGAAACTGAGCGTTTCTCTCCAATATATATGTATATATATCAATATTTTTGTTGTGCGTTGACGTTTCTAGCAGTTTGAATGGTTTTGTGGGGTAGGATTAATAGCACTACGCTCAACCCTCCCTCTCTTTACCCGGGCTTGGGACCAGCTAGAAAAATAGCGGGCTAATAAACTAGGCGAGCTTCTGGCTGAAGAAGCAGCAAAGACAGGACTCCAGTTGAACATAAAGAAGACGGAGGTGATGAAGATGCCCACGCACCACCACCATCACAACAACAACAACAGTCAGCACCAGTCAACGTCGACGGGAGAGATTTCACCGAGGGAGCACGGTTTCAACCACAGACAGTGGTTGGACAGCACGGATGAAGATGTCAAAGCCAGACAGACAGACAGACGGAATCGGAAAGGCAAGACAGTTGCCTTCATCAACCTGAAAGCAGTTTGGAAATCTTCTGCTTCACTCAGCCAGCATATAAAACAAGATCTATTCGGATTTTCAACACACACACAATGTCAGTGAAGTCAGTAAGTCAGTCTGTTCTTGGCCAGCTTGTCACGGAAAGCATTTCCAACAAGTTACAGACTTCGATCAACTGCTGCTGCCGCTACCTTCGTCAACTTCATACTGAAGGCCAAATGGCCAGCCAGCCGGCCAGAAAGAATCAGCGAGAAGAAACTCTAGCGATGAACAAACCAACCAAGAATCTATCCTGCAACAAATATATAGGGGGAAATAGCGATAGATTGGGCATAAGCTGAGGAGATTGTCAAATGATATGGCAGTCCAGACCATCGACTGGAACACGAATAGGAAACGACGGGTGGGTCATCAATGCGAGGGTGACATCGAGCAGATCCTTTGGTGAGGAGGAGGAAATGAGAGATTTTTACGAGTTGATCACGGATTGATATCAGTTAGAGAACCATTGAAAACCAGGGAGTACTGGACAGCTGCGACAATGGTTGGGGTCGCGTTAAATCACGAATTGGTAGAAGTTAGAATTCATGGACTGGCCATTGAATCGGGTCCCAGTGGCTGAATGGTATCCGAGCCAGCTTGCCTTGTAACCGGAAGGTCCTGGGTTCGAATCCCAGTGGGTGCGTACTGCCGATGATTCCCAAACTAGCTGGATGAAACAGCAGCTGTCCAGTACTCCACTACTGGTTTTCAATGGTTCTCTAACTGGTATCAGTCCGTGATCAACTCGTAAAAACATAACAAACCCTTACAAACCAAACTATAGAAAATGAGAGATTATGGGCAATCGTGTGGTCAAACAGCTGAAGAGAACAGCACGAAATCGGACAAAATAGACAAAATATTATTGAAGCCCTATGTTCTACTCGAAACCCAAGGGAATAATAATAATCATAACACATAACTATTATGCAATCATCCAAGGGGAAATACGAATTAACCCCTTAAAAATCCACTTAATTCATTCGCCTTGTTTCTCTCTTCTCTTTTTATTTTCTGTCACAGGTTATATCACCTTACAGTGTCAGAAATGGTTACACGTAATCTATCCAGAATGAAATGTACTCTTGTACAGGAGAAAAAAATGGTGACTGTCGACTGTTGTGAAAGTTTTTTCTGACTTCACATTTATATCACACAGCCTTTATCACATCAGATCTGAATGAATAGTATCTATCAGCTTACTTCGCTTTACATCACTTGACTATTTTGTCTAATCGCATTTCAATGAACAGAACAAAGATATAAAGTTAAGCATTTCGCTTAAAAATTCCCTTCTCTCTGTGCTTTTAACTGTTTCGATCAAAATGAATCCCTTCTAATTTTTACTAATGATGACATTCTCTGGCAAATTAATAATAGTGAATGTACAATCTAAAAGATAAAGAAATAGAATATGTGTGAGATTTGTTTGTCTTTGATTGTATTCTATGATTTTCTCGCTTTATATAACCTTCTTGTTTAATGAATCATTGATATTAAAAAGCCAACTGCAGCAAAGCAGATTTTCTTTTCGATGAAGTCATCAACCAGAGAGCTGTATATTCGTGTATTTTGTAGTAGTAAATGTGTGGGAGAAAGTTCCCAAATTATTTCCGGTCAATGGTTAAATTAATAGAACCACTAAGCGTAATAGAGACCTTATCATTATTGTTTCCTTTAATTCCTAGAGAAACATAGGGCTTCAGCCAAACGTCTCCACTGAGTTCGGTTCTCTGCCACATCTGCCCACATGCTTTCATCTCCTCTTCACATGACCTCCTCCAAGTCACCCACCCTCGCACTGACGACCAACTCGACGCTTCCCTTCGGGTTCCACTCGAGCAATGGCTTGTCTAGTGATGTCACTTGATGGTTTTCTCAGAGTATGACCAGCCAATCCACCTCCATTTCTTCCTGCCTATTTGTTCCACAATCGGTTCCTGGTTGGTTCGCTCACAGAGATCTCTATTGCTGATCTTCTCTGGCTGGCCATCTGATCTTGAGTAGTATTGAGCGAAGACAACTGTTATTGAAGGTCTGTAGTTTGTTTGATGTGCTCTTTATGACGCGCCAAGTCTCTGATCCGTATGGTAGCAATGACTTCACATTGGAGTTGAAAATCCGTTTCTTATTTTTGATGCTGAGAGTTGTTGACCTCCACACAGACTTGAGAGAAATGGAAGCTTGTCTTGCTTTCCCAATCCTTGCTTTGATGTCCTCATCAGTTCCACCTGTAGCTGAAACGATGGTTCCCAAGTAGGCAGATAAAGAAGGTTGCTTCTTACAGATTCCTCCCATTTATGCTCACTGTTATCTATTGTTGTTGCTGTTTCTGTTGACCAGGAATCTTCCTCAACTCTGTTTTCTCTATGTTCACCTGAAGTCCTATCAATTTGCATCCGTGTAATGTTATAACAATATCATTCTTATGTGTTTTGAATGATCTACTCATTCATACTGGAAGTGACAAATCATACTGATTAAAATATGTTAACTAGAGATCTGACAGAGTCAGAATTATCACGTTATGTTACAAATTTGCGGGTTTTTTAAAAGAGACGTCAATTTTTTAACCTAGTCTTAGGTTGGATTATGCGTGTAATAATACAGAGTTCTACGTTTTAACAAAAAAGGCTGATACATTCTCATTATATTTCTATTTATTCCTTTACGCTCCCAGCGGAACATAGGGGGCTTCAAACTGGAGGCTTGTAGTATCGGTAGCAATGGCGTTTATTTCGACGGGATGGGGTTGCCAGCCTCATGCCCAACCTTCCCTCTTTATCAGTCATATTACTGGTTCGGTGAGGTAATGGAGGAGTACCTCGGTTGCCGGGGATCGAACTACGAACCACATGAGATGCGGCCGGCGACCATTCTACCGCTGTGCCACCAACGCACTACATTCTCATTAGCTACTACTAAATCTTCAACTGATGTCAATCTGTCACGGAAATTTCCTTGAAACGCAGTACCTTTCAACAAACCATTCACTTGATGAAATTGATAAAGAAAATAGGTTCATGTGCAGAAGCTTCATTAGTGTGAATTATTACTGATATTTTTCCGTTGCGCATTCATTGCTTTCTGAGAAGAAAAACGGGGCCTCAGTGGCACCTCTCCCTAATGTACTAGGTTCCCTGCTAGCTTTTATCTCCCCTTCACCCTCAAATGATATTCAGCATATATCATCTTCGGACGCCTAACTCGTCGCTTCTTACTCAGTTTACAAACGACGTCTTACGTGTCGTATGATGTCACTTGAATGTCGCTTCAACGTACGTCAAATCCGCCTCCGTTTCCTCTTAAATATTTGTCCAGAAACAGTCTCTTGGCTATTTCTCTAAACTGCTAGAGTCCCTTGTTGCTTATCGATTCCAGCTGGCCACCCAATCTCCAGCAGTGAATCAGAAAAGGTATCTATTTATAAAAGTCTGCAGCACCCTGTTGAAAATGATTTTTGTGTTGAGCGCATCAAGTCTCTGAACCACACAGAAGTACTAATTTGACATTGGTTTTGAAAATTCAGATCATGTTCTAATCTCAAAGTAATGAAGGTGTGCCGTGCTCTTCTGATTCTGCCTTCAACGTACTCATCTATACCGCTGGGATAGCTGAAACGATGCTGCTCGGAGGTGACTACTTTTAGATTTCTCCCGTTGATAGTGATTGATGCTTCTTGTTGTTGTTGTCGGTCGCTGGGTGTTAATTGCTTTCCTACCTGTTCATTCTCAATCTTTCCTTTGTTCAACATTATACTACTTGCCAGTAGTAAGTAGTATGATTTTTATATGTTAATTTATAACAATGACATTTGCTTTCAACTGCAGTTAAATTACTTGTTCTATTATCATTCTATTAATGTATAGTTCTTATTTTTCTTCTCCTTAAACATTATTTGCTGACCTTACCCTATAGTGTATGCTTTACTACTGAAAGTTGTTTGTTCATATTTGTTTATTCTTTGCTTGGCATTCGCGGGCCGTTGAACCGACACGTGGATCGACCTTGACACAGCATTGCTGTTTTTACTTATTGACTGCACAGTGGTTGTGCATTTGATGGCATTTAGCCACAGACACCTCACATTTTGAGGTTTGTATATTATATATCTATTTTTATGTAATAAAGTACCGTATTGCAGAATATCCTGTATTTCGGACTTTACGCGTCACTCTACGTGTGGTTAAATCTATAGTTTGGATTATCGTTTCGGATTTCTTTCGGGAGAAATTCACACTGGGTATCTTCATTACATCTGTCTTCTCTATTTTCACTTGAAGTCCTGCCCTTACTGCCTCTTCTTCTTCTGCAGATTTTTGGTTTTCGCTTGTAGATTTCCAAGAAATGTGACATTAGACATAGATCGTCCTGGAAGTTCATGTCTTCTAGTGTCTTGTTACCGATCCAACGTATTCCCACCTTCGCACTCCCCACAGCCTGTTGCATGGCCCAGTCCACCACGATTATAAATATCATTGTGGGTGTTATTAGGCAGCCTTTTCTTACTCTTGTCTTCACTTCGATGAATTCGCCGAGTTTTTCTTTGATTTGTGTGTATTAGCATAAAAACAAATTATAACTGAAAGCCGTTTCATAATAAATGGCTCTCGTGACCCAAACTGTCCAGTGCACAAGGCTTCAAAGTTTGAAATGATGGGTACTGGGCTTAAGTTTCAGTGGGAACGACATCACTCACTGGGGAATGCAGGTGCATTCGGTGTCGAGTCCAAAATAGGACGAAACGCATATCTATTGGATTCCACTGGTGGTCACCATCAAGCGAAATTAATCCATACTAGGGGACGACAAATAAACACAGAAACTGAGCGTTTCTCTCCAATATATATGTATATATATCAATATTTTTGTTGTGCGTTGATGTTTCTAGCAGTTTGAATGGTTTTGTGGGGTAGGGTTAATAGCACTACGCTCAACCCTCCCTCTCTTTACCCGGGCTTGGGACCAGCTAGAAAAATAGCGGGCTAGTAAACTAGGCGAGCTTCTAGCTGAAGAAGCAGCAAAGAGAGGACTCCAGTTGAACATAAAGAAGACGGAGGTGATGAAGATGCCCACGCACCACCACCATCACAACAACAACAACAGTCAGCACCAATCAACGTCGACGGGAGAGATTTCACCGAGGTCACTTCCTTCACTTATCTTGCCAGGGAGGGAGCACGGTTTCAACCACAGGCAGTGGTTGGACGGCACGGATGAAGATGTCAAAGCCAGACAGACAGACAGACAGACGGAATTGGAAAGGCAAGACAGTTGCCTTCATCAACCTGAAAGCAGTTTGGAAATCTTCTGCTTCACTCAGCCAACATATAAAACAAGATCTATTCGGATTTTCAACACACACACAATGTCAGTGAAGTCAGTAAGTCAGTCTGTTCTTGGCCAGCTTGTCACGGAAAGCATTTCCAACAAGTTACAGACTTCGATCAACTGCTGCTGCCGCTACCTTCGTCAACTTCATACTGAAGGCCAAATGGCCAGCCAGCCGGCCAGAAAGAATCAGCGAGAAGAAACTCTAGCGATGAACAAACCAACCAAGAATCTATCCTGCAACAAATATATAGGGGGAAATAGCGATAGATTGGGCATAAGCTGAGGAGATTGTCAAATGATATGGCAGTCCAGACCATCGACTGGAACACGAATAGGAAACGACGGGTGGGTCATCAATGCGAGGGTGACATCGAGCAGATCCTTTGGTGAGGAGGAGGAGGAGGAAATGAGAGATTTTTACGAGTTGATCACGGATTGATATCAGTTAGAGAACCATTGAAAACCAGGGAGTACTGGACAGCTGCGACAATGGTTGGGGTCGCGTTAAATCACGAATTGGTAGAAGTTAGAATTCATGGACTGGCCATTGAATCGGGTCCTAGTGGCTGAATGGTATCCGAGCCAGCTTGCCTTGTAACCGGAAGATCCTGGGTTCGAATCCCAGTCGGTACGTACTGCCGATGATTCCCAAACTAGCTGGATGAAACAGCAGCTGTCGAGTACTCCCTGGTTGGTTTTCAATGGTTCTCTAACTGGTATCAGTCCGTGATCAACTCGTAAAAACATAACAAACCCTTACAAACCAAACTATAGAAAATGAGAGATTATGGGCAATCGTGTGGTCAAACAGCTGAAGAGAACAGCACGAAATCGGACAAAATAGACAAAATATTATTGAAGCCCTATGTTCTACTCGAAACCCAAGGGAATAATAATAATCATAACACATAACTATTATGCAATCATCCAAGGGGAAATACGAATTAACCCCTTAAAAATCCACTTAATTCATTCGCCTTGTTTCTCTCTTCTCTTTTTATTTTCTGTCACAGGTTATATCACCTTACAGTGTCAGAAATGGTTACACGTAATCTATCCAGAATGAAATGTACTCTTGTACAGGAGAAAAAAATGGTGACGGTGGACTGTTGTGAAAGTTTTTTCTGACTTCACATTCATATCACACAGCCTTTATCACATCAGATCTGAATGAATAGTATCTATCAGCTTACTTCGCTTTACATCACTTGACTATTTTGTCTAATCGCATTTCAATGAACAGAACAAAGATATAAAGTTAAGCATTTCGCTTAAAAATTCCCTTCTCTCTGTGCTTTTAACTGTTTCGATCAAAATGAATCCCTTCTAATTATTACTAATGATGACATTCTCTGGCAAATTAATAACAGTAGATATACAATGGAAAAAAGAAAGAAATAAAACATTTGTGGAATTTGATTGTCTTTCAATGTATTCTCTGATTATCTCACTGTGTATAACCTTATTGTTTAATGAACCACTAAGCGTAATAGAAACATTATTACTATTACTGTTTCCTTTAATTCCAAGAGGAACATAGGGCTTCAGCCGTGCGAAAACACGCAGTTCTACGCAGAACGTGATGATAGAACGAGAACTTCCAGAGCGAATCATCAACTTATAAGAGGAGAGTTTCATAAGCGTGTTCATACGAATAAAGTTAACAATAGCGCCTAGCAGATCTTCCCTCATGCAAACTGGCTATTTTAAGAAAACTCACGTATTAAATATTGGGAAACTTTACCTTTCAAATGAGCGAGTTAGTGGAAGTGTAATTATAAATTTATAATTACAGAAGTCATAGAAAAAAGTATCACGGACTAATCAGATACTGCAGTACTGAGCAGATTAATGAGTGGCTGTCAACGTAGTGAAATCTAATTGTCAAGTATTCGTTTGTAAAGATTTGATTGATTGACTGAAGAGTCCCAAACTAGGATGAAACATCTGTACAGTACTACCCGTCGGTTTTCAATTGGTTCTCTAACCAAAATCAGCTCATGGTGAAATCCTGTAACCAACCAATCAAATCCCTACAAAGCAATACTTGACCATTAATGAGATGCGCATTAGCGACTGATCCTATTCAGGTAGGTAGTTACCTGGGCTTCTAGTGGGAAGTCATCACCAGTAGGGAACAGCAGGTCGGGTGTGAGGGCAAACACTCGCCGAAGATATCGGCTAGCGGTCGCGCTATGTAATGGATTGGCTGGCAGAAGTTAGAATTCATGGGCTGGCCATTGGATCAGCCGGGTCCCAGTGTCTGCCTAATGGTCTACAAGCCCACTAGCGTCGTAGCTAGAAGGTCCTGGGTTCGAACCCCTGTGTTTGTGAGTACTGCTAGAGAGTCCCAAACTAGGACGAAACAGCCGTCCAGTACTCCATGCAGGTTTTCCAGTGGTTTTCTAACCGATATCAGCTCACTGTGAAATCTGATTGGTTGATTATTTGACTAACATGTAGGCGTCTGTCAGTGAGACGGAATCTCATTAGTTCACTGTCGGATTTGCACAATCTTAATTCTGACTAATAGACTATAGATCTAGCCTATGGTTACACAGAACAGCATTCATAGTATTGAACATATTTCCTATACTCTACTAATTGACTAGTTGTACACTACTCACATCAACCAGTAGTACTAGCTAGCCAGCAGACATTTTACCCGTTTGGAACGCAGCTCATCCAATGTGATCCAGGTTCGAATCAGCTCAGGGAGTTGAATCCATCCAAACCATTTGGATAACTGGTAACTCAATAAATCAAATTCGAGTCTCTGAAATGAGCCAAATCAGGTCCTGCGCTCACATGCTCGAAGCTTAACAAGCCATACGGCAGTCCGGTGTGTTTAGATTACTGTTGAACATTCATTAGTCACACACCGTCTGTTTAATAATAATCGAAATATCTCTTTAACTAATAACAATTATTTACTTTGTAAACTTACACTACTCATAAGTAATATAGATTGAATTCACGAAAATCAACAAGTAATTTATTGATAATAAATATTTTGTTTACTTTGTTTCGGTCAAGGAAAAATAATAATAATAATAATAATGATAATAACGACTTTCCTCCACCTTTCAGCTAGAACTTTATCAGTGGAATAAAAAGTGAACAATAGTTGTTATGGAAGATAATATGAGAATACTGAAGCACCGTCCTGTATTTAGCTACAGAAGTATGAAAAAAAACAGAATGTAGCGCTTTAAATTTAAAAGTAGCGCCAAAAAAGTAGGCAAATAAATTAACAAATAATGAAGTAAATAATAAATGAATACAGGGGTACCAATGATGATGATAATAATAATAATAGTAATTCAAGGCACTGTGATTGAAAAAGACAGAAGGAATGCAGTGAGAATCCGTTTCGACTTCGTGACCTCAGGTGTACAAATAGATAGATAGATAAATAGGTAGATGAAGAGATAAGAGTGGAGAAAGAGGGCAAGGAAGAACCAGGATAAAATTGTCTCACTTGTAAAAACGAAAAAAGCAGAAGGCAATGGAGAAAACGACGTATATTCTCATGATAACATGATTTTTGTCAAGTTAAAAGATCACAATTTTCGGTGTTTTTGTCTATGCATGATAATCTGTTGTTTTTTTTTATAATCAAAGAAAATGATGAGAATAAAAATAATTAGAAGCAATTTTTAACTTTTTTTCTAAAGAAAAACGTTTTCGTTGCTGTTGTTATTGTTAAATTATTATTTACAAATATTGAACAGGTGTATAATTGAATACTGAATATTGAACTGATCAACTGGTGAATAGCACTTTTCAAAAGAAAAAAAATAAACCACAGAATTTGAATTCTTTGAATTCTTCTCTGTCTACTGATAGTAGAAATAGTAGTAGTACTAGTAGTAGTAGTATGCGTGATTGTCATGGATTGGAAAGAAATTCTTACTGATTTACACGTGATACTTGATGGAGTAGATCTGCTAGGCGGAGAAAACGTTTTTCAATCTCTGGATGTTTTAGAATTTCACTAATTGGACTGAAATAGATGGATCTAAACAAAAGAATGAAGACAGAAGAAAAGGTAAGGAGTATTATTATTATTATTGACAATTATTAAGCATAATTCTTTAGTTTTATCTGTTCATTTGTTATATATATATATATATTTCTTTTCTTCTTTCCTTCTCTTTATCCTCTACGTTCCCCAGTGGAACATAGGGCTTCAATCTAGAGGCTTGAAGTTTCTGTAGCAGTGCTTATTTTACAGGATGGGGTTGCTAGCCTCATGCTCAACCTTTCCTCCTCACCAATATTATTTCTGGCTTAGTGAGGTAAAGGAGTGCGTCGGCCGGCGATCGAACTTCGGACCATGTGCATGGTCGGCGAGAGTCCTAACCGCTATGCCACCGACGCACTCCAGACATTTATCAGGCTTTAACGGCGGATATATCATAATGCTAAATGTCAAGTAGTCCGTAATAGAAAAGTCAGAGAAGATTTTGAACTGAAGACAAAAGTAGGAAAAGGCTGCCTACGATCTCCGATGATATTCTTAACAGAGCGCGGAGAGTGCAAGAAGACAGGAATACATCGGAGTGATAAAAATAGTGTATAAAATATCTGGGCTTCGATGATATTAGATAGTTGGGTGCCTTGCGCTGCGAGTTGGCCACCCCTCCGAACACCTCTTCAAATGCTCCCATATGACCGGGCGTCTTACATAGCCTCTCCTGAGGAAGTCCTACCCACTGACTTCACGTGGCGGAGGTGTTTTTCACCAAAGTGAGAGGGCGAAAGCGGATGCCCGGCGCTCTTCACCGGACTGACTGTCCATTGGATGACAGTCTAGGGGAGATGGCTAAACCCTGATTCCAAACCTCCAACGACTGGCGTATGAAGCTCACTGGAGCTCACCGGCAGACGTATGGACAAAGGGCTTGTTGGATGTCCTGGATGTCTGGCCCCATTCAAAAAGGCGTATGAACCGAACTCCGGTCACCGGCTGCCAATGGATAGTGGACTCCCTACTCCACTCCTACTGCCTTGTAGGTCACACTTGGTTGTGTAAAGGCTAGAGCTGCACTCTCAAACAAAAGGCCGAGCGATTCTGGGGACATCACTCGTACCAAATTCCCATGAAACTTGATGAACTCTCTTACAAACGTGGTACAGTCAAGGCTGATATGGAGTGCCTGGGGCTACAAACCGTCTATGGACTCCGTCTGTGGAACAAGAATTGGAAAACCCTGTCGCAAAACCTTGCATCAGATCGCCGTGCCTGGGCAGCGATGATTCGAGATGTTCATGAAGCCGGCTCATCCTCCCGTAGGAGATAGCCGAAGTAAAGTAAAAGTAAGTAAGTTGGAGGCAATCGGCGGGCACGAAGCTCTATCTGATCTAGGTTTCATGCTAGTTGGCAGCAGGGCATATCTGCAACCTTGAATAGCTCAGTGGTGACGTCTCTGACTGACTGACTGCAGCAATGGGAGACACGGGTTCGAATCTCAGAAAGGACATGAGTTCCTTCAAGGCAGTTGCAGATACGCCTTTCTGACTGGGGAGTGCCAACTAACTAGCACGAAACCTAGGTCGAGCAAGGCTTCCTGTGGCCGATTGCCTCCAACTATCTAATATCATCAAATCAATGTGCAGCGTGATGGTGAGCCACCTAGTGGAATGATGGCCACATTGCAAACCTGACTGACTGATAGAATTCAGGCTGCACCAAACAGCAAGGTCTAGACAAGTCGCACTAGTCACACTAGTGTCCAATCAAAATATCTGGACTTTGTGAACGATTTACGTCTAATTTCACACAAACTTAAAGATCTACAGATGAAAACCAACAGGGGGCTGCTGCAAGAAGAACCAGTAAAGATACAACTTCAATTGAACGTAGAGAAGACAGAGGTGATAAAGTTACTCACCACCAGCCAACCAACCAACCAAGAACAACAACACGAAGTGTTAACCACTGTTAGTTGGCGGAATTTGAACGAGATCACTTCATGTGAAAACCGGAATTGTAAAGGCAAGACAGAGATACCTTCTTTATCACTGTGAAATCAGTTTGGAAATCTGCTACGCTTGAAGTTAAGGAACTAGATTCAGATTTTAATTGGTGGATGGTGACTAGCAGTGGATGGAATCCAGGATAACACGCATTTCGTCCTATTTGGAACTCGTCATCCGCTGGATGTACCTGCATTCCAGTTGACGAGTCCCAAGTAGGACGAAATGCGCGTTATCCTAGATTCCATCCACTGCTATTCATCATCCACCAATTCACCACTTATAATAATTACATGCCCAGACATCATCGAAGCATCTGCACAAGAAGCCAACAGACATGTCAACCTGGGACCGACGAGCACTTCGGCCCAATCAATGAATCAATCGACGGGAAAATCTAAAATTCAATTAACAAAAAGATTCAGATTTTCAACACCAATGTTAAGTCAGTCAGTTGTTTTATATGTGTGTGTCAGAAACATGGCGCGTCACATAAAGCATTTCCAACAGGACATTCCAAATATCCAGGAGGTCATGTGAGGAGAAAATGGAAGCTTATAAGTAGTTATGAAGCCGCTTAAACAGGACTGCAGAGGGCAGGATGGAATAGAGGTCTACTGTTAAAACCCTATGTTACACTTGGAACCCAAGGGAATAGTAATATAATATAACGCAACGCATAGTGTACAATTCTTTTTTAATGTACGCCTAAACTGTAGACGCTGTATTTGATTTAGATGAGTTTGAATGGGCAAAACAAGAAGATAAGTTTAGCTTAAGTTAGGTTACCATTTCAGCCTGTCCAGATAGTATATTGGACAGCTGTCCACAGCTCAACAGCTCGTAAGATGAAAGTTCTTGGTTAGATCAGATCGATTCTTGGTGGGATTATGGCAGTGTGCTGTTAAACAATTTTCCTAATTAGAACGAAACAGCCGTCTAGTACACTCCTCAAGCTTTCACATTTAAAACGGTGGATAGATGAATGGATGGACGCTTCGTTTATACCATCATGGTTAACATGATATCATTTAATTTTTTAGTGACCAGTAATGAGATCCTACTTGAGACTCGTCATCTGGGTTTATTTACATGAATTCCCAGTGAGTGGTCGTGTCCCTAGAATCAATCATCCATTCCACCAAACACATCAAGGAGTTATTCATTAGTCTTGTGGACCACGGGAACCACTTCTCAGCGTTGAAAACGACGTATACCGCGCCTTCTAGTGTTAATACGAACACTGTCACAATAGGATGTAAGTGATCCGGATGATGAGTCCCATGTGGGACGAAACATATGTCCTAGATTCAGCTAATACACATATATATACATGCATACATACCATCAACTAATTGACACAGCTTTATGAAGTTTTAAGAAATCAAAATATTCATGCGAATACAACAAACTGAATTAAACTTACTCATCTCTATCCTGTTTCACTTGCTGATTTTCTTCATTTGAACTAGTGCTTGAATTCATTGATATCATGGTTAATTGATTTGTATAATGCAGATTTTCATTCTTTGCAACAGTTTCATGTATCATATCAGTTAGATGAGTGATTACATCATCGTTATGTTCCCTTGGACATTCACCTTCTTGATTAATTCTGACTTCAACATCACCATTTCTATCACTTTTAGAATATTTCACATTATTATTAGTATTATTATTATTACTACTATTGTTATTACTTTCATTAATTTGTGATTTATTTAGCAAGCTTAATACATCATCTAATAAACTAGCCAACTGTACAACTGTCCCAGTTTTATTCTTTGTTGTTATAATATGCTGACTAGTGTGTTGATGTTGACTTGATGACCTTTGAAAGCTGTTTAAATTTGAATTGATTTTCGCGCCATCATCGCTTGGTTGATTTAAACAAACCAAATTTCGAAATGGTCTAGATTCTTGATACTGGTGTTTGTGATCAATCACCGAGGGAAATGAATAAGGCGTTTTAGACTTTAAATCAGTTGAATGAGATTCATGTCTTAGATTTTGATAATGTTTATTTATAATTCTATGACATTTTAATGAATTACGATAAACGAAACTGGGAAACTCGGACAAGTGCTTCTGATCTTCTTCAGTGCGTGTCAGTTTAACTTTTGAAGATGTTTGACTAGTAGTAGTAGTAGTAGTAGTAGCGGCGTGTTGATTTTTAGGGTCACCTTCAAAAGATGAGTTATTCTCTTCTATTGACTGTATCAAATGTTCACTGGTGTAGTCATCATTCGACATTTTCTAAAAAAAAAAGATGAAAATGGAACAAAATTATGAATAATTCTCGTTTTTTAAAGGTTAACGAAAATCCCCAGCTTAGGTATAATAACACGATGTAATGATGTCTAGCCCTGAGTTCCTCCATGTCTTAAATTTCAAAAAGAGGGAGGATACTCGAAACCGTTGGGAAAGAGGTTTTCCACAGGCGATTGAATAGTCACACATACTAAGCGATGTCATACACTTATTGAGTTACAAATAAACATACCAGAAGAGCAAAGAATATCCTTTTCGATAATTTCCTCTTCTGGCTCTACCATTATATATGCATGTCTATATACATAGAATATTCTAGATTAGTAGTCAATAACAATATTAGTGTTTTCTAAATAATAACGGTTTGTAAAGTAAGATCACAATGGAATTACTGTTCATTAAGGATGCTTAAATTATAATAGTAATAATAAAGATATAGTAGCAGATAGAATATCAACTAAAATTAGGAAAATTCCACAAAAATTCAGGATCATTCAAACCTAGATGGACAAAGTAAGGAGAATGTCTGTACTTATTACTTTTTTATTATTTAAACGCAGAATAAAAAACTTGGTACAATATGGCACCAAGAAAGATGCACCACACAATGATAATAAAACAACATAGATTAAAAGTAAAAATATAAGTAGTAAAAGGATAAAGAACTTCATCTGGAAGGAAAAGTCATGTTTAACAAGTTCAAACAGTATTCGTTAACTATCATCAGGAAGGGAAGAAAGAAGGAAATTGCTATCCTGGTCAACTGTCAAATCTATGAATTCACAAATTTTGTGTTGATTGCCTTAACCGATCCGATATTCAATCAGTTTAGTGTTATATTATTATTATTATATATTATTTCTCTCTCTCACTGATGCTTTACAAATGTAATCATTAGATACTAACTACTGATTCAATGTAATCTTTTAAAAATTGATTTTGAAAGATTTCATCATGAGCTGAGCTGACAACACTTAGAGAACCATCGGAAAACCTGCTAGGGAGTACTGGACAGCCAACTGTTTCGTCAGCCTAGTTTGCGACTCCTCACCAGTACGCCCCCACCACAGGGGTTCGAACCCACGACTTTCTGGTTAAAAAGCCGACTAGACCAGATCCAATGGCCAGCCCATGAATTCTAACTTCTACCAATAGCGCGACCACTTCGCGCAATGTCTTCTTCGGTGAGTTACTGCCTCACCATTAACCTGCTGTACGCTACTGGTCACGGCTTCCAACTAGAATCCCAGGTAACTAACAGCCTGAATATATAGGGCCAGTCGCTAGTAAGCATCAGATTAATTTTCAATTATTGGTTTTGCAGGGAATTGGTTTAATGGTCTACAAGCTCGCTAGCCTTGTTACCAGAAGGTTCTGTGTTCGAACAGTGGCGGTGAGTGCATACTGTTGAAGGTTCCCAAACTAGGACGGAGGAAACAGCTGTCCAGTGCTCCCTTCTTGGTTTTCCAATGGTTCTCTACAAAATCAATACTTGAAAATTGATATTGTCAAGAACAATTATTCCTTAATTATTCCTGTCATATAAACGTAGAACCTGATATAAAGAAGAAGAAGAGCTTATAGTAAATCTGAATATTCTTTGCTCATTTAATAATGTGAGCCGTTTCAAAACAAGAAATAAAATTACTAATCTTACCTTGGAAATAGTGTTTTTCTCTGTTTCATACTTCGAGTCTTCTTTAACCATTCCACGCATAACAGCTCCATTTTGTTGTTTAAGCAATTTTATTCGTTGTCTATCATAAGAGCTGAAGCGACGACGCTGATGGTGACCATCGTTTCCAACTGGAAAATGTATTCGTGGCAGAAGACACTTTTTTGTTAAATCGTCAATAGTTTGTCCATTAGCGGTCATTTGTTGATAATGTCTTGTATAGGCATGAAATATAACAGATCTCCATGATTGCAGTCGAACTGTACAAAATTTACATGTGAATTTGATCGATTGTCTATGTTTTCGAAATAATAATAATAATGGCTTCTTTTTATAAAACAGATTCTTTGATAATTGTGATGATTTTCTAATTTCACCAGCGGTAGTACAACAACAATCCTCCTCTTGTGTACTATTAATATCATCCTCTAAAGTGTCAATAGCTAAATTCAGTGGACTTGATTGTGAGGATAAAGAAGGTTTATTCGCTAAAGAATTTCTATTACTACTACTGTCTTCATCGTCTAAATTGTCATCATCATCAGCATCAACATTGTCGGCATCATCGTGATGTGATCGGATTTCTTGTTCATCACCACCACCTTGCATGATTACATCATTCGATGATACAGGCTGTTGATGATGGTGATCGGTGTTACCATCACCAGTGACTGATGATAATAATAATGAGACAGGTGATGATGATAAATTCATATTTGATTCAGATGAACTACAAATACTCGGTTCAAATTTACTGCCTAATTCTGATTGACGTATGTGCTGCTGTTGGTGTTGTTGGTGCTGTTGTCGTCGACGATTTTTATACTGATGTATTGTACGTCTAGCTTCTTCAAGACTTAGTGTTTGTACTTCACCATTTCCATTATGAATTTGTTTGATATGCTTACCAACATCCCATTTCCAGTTACTTCTAGAAAAAATGAAAAAGAAAAAAAGGGGGGAAATAATTTCAAATAAAAAATAATTCTCGCTATATTAGTGAGTGCGTTTCAACATATAGGAAGGTTTAATGGATATAGAAGATCACGAAAGCCAGTCTACACCTTCCTACTTGGTTGACTTGAACTAACTTTTATGGATTTGAACAAAGCAAGAACAACAATTGTACCAGGACAATATGAGCTCATCTTTTATTATTTCGAGGATTCTTCTCAACTGGTTACAACCTGAACGATGAAAAATATGAATTACATTACATTAAAGATTTGAACATAATTTTCCACGATCACAATGAGTAATTGGTAGGAAGTAAAAGTAACATTAGTCCGGAATGATTTAACTAATTAAGAGTTACAAACACTGACTATTTATAGAATAATTCAAATGAACTGTGATCAATATTTGACAGTTTATAAATATTTATAGAATAATTAGGCAATTAGGCTTGGAAACAAAAACAAGCTGTTGTATATTTTTTTTTGTCACCAGGGCAGTGCAAGATTCACCACTGTCTCTTTCTGCGTACATAGATTTGGTTTAAGTCGTCTGATAGCAGCTGCTTCAGCAAAGCGTAGCAAGTTAGGTTTCTTTTGCTTGTTGATTATTTTGAATGACTTCAAGTTGTCTACATTATTACCAGTGTCTAGTAGATGACGTGCAATTGCACTGTTTAATACTTGTGAACCTTTCAGTTTCAGGTTCTTTGGTATGTGTTCAAAAATGCGGACAATAACCCTTCTCTCTGTTCTTCCGATGTATGTGCTTTGGCACGTACATGTAAATTGGTAGACACAGTTGGAGGTAACATGAGGTGGGTATTTGTCCACTTTTGATTGTCTCAAACAACTAGTTGTTTGATAAACACATACAAGCTTGGCGGTTGGATGTGTTCTTTTCAGGGCAGCGTTCAGTCTGCATCTTATTCTACTGGCGGTATCATCACCTTTGAATGCAAGCTGCAGAAAGATAGGCTTTTTCTCTCCTGTTCTTGCTTTGTTCAAGTTTATTAATCGGAAGAATTGCATGAAGTTTTTATGGATTTCATGGACTGATAAAACCATGTTTTGTTTTGACCACCACTACTAACTCTCTTACAAACTAATCCCATGCCAAGCTAACATTGTAACGACAGAAGACAAAAGTCAGGCAACAGATCGTTTATTGAGAAAATCAACAAATATTTATAGATTTTTGTGTACATTATTATTAGCGTTATTGTTAGCAGAGAAACATCGTCTTCTGATTGGTTGTTTTCTCGCTGAGAGGTATTCTGTTATCTCTTTGTGGCCATTTCTTTGAAGGTCAAACTATGCATCTGCGAATCGTATCCGCCCACGCAAAGTCTACTCTGATTGGTTGTTGAGTTAGTCTTTGTTCTTGTTTTTTTCCTCATGACCAAGATTTGGGACGTAAACGGTGACGTGAATTGCTGTCTACCAATTGTGGCTAACAGATAGCTCTCACCGCAACATTACCCGCTGAGGAAGGCTATGGCTGATAGACATGCGTAACACATATATGTACTAACCATCTCAATCAATGTTTAATGATAGAAGACAAGGGCCAGGCAACAGATTGTATATTGAGAAAATCAAGAGGTATTTATAGATTTTTATGTACATTATTGTCAGTGGAGAAGTAATGTCTTCTGATTGGTTGTTTTCTTGCTGAAGGTTATTCTGCTATATCTTTGTGACCGTTTCTTAGAATGTTAAGCCATTTATATCTGTGAATCCTATTTGCACACATTGATTCTACCATGATTGGTTGGTGAGTTCCTCAAGGTTAAGCTTTGTTCTTGCTTTTTCTCATGACCCCGATTGGAGACGTAACATTGACGTAAATTGCTATCTACAATTCTCGGCTTGCAGGCAGCTCTCTTACTACAAATGTAGCATCACAGCCACATAGATTGGCTTTCCATCCTTACCTAATACTTGAAACCTAACTTCAATATTACTCGCCCTATTATACCACCTAACATGGAGGGGGTAGAGTGCAGAGACCTATGATCAAAGACAACCAGCCTTTCCATGTCTTCCACTTTCAATGACCACGCCTCACAGTCATAAAGGAGGATAGAGTGTACCGCGTCCTTTAATCGATAGACAAGTACCACGTCCACGCTAGACATGATGTAAGTCGGCAGATGCCAGTCACACCAGCTTTCTGTATCCATGATGAGATCTAGTCAGCAATCGGCTGATGCAACTCCCCAAATAAGTGAATTGGTCAACACGCTCAACTAATTCACTCCCTATCTTTAGCGTAACAGTCAGAGTCTTGCAGCATCATCTTACATTTGACAGGAGCTGGTCACAGACAAAATATATTATCAAGGTTTCTGTTCAAAGTGTTCAGGAAGCGCTATGGACTTTGTCTGAGTCTTCACCTGGGTGGACAATATCATCTGCATACTCTAATTCAATAAAAGACTGACCCAAGGTATGTTCTATCTCATTGAATAGAACTGATAGGATGAAGAGAGAAAAAAGAAGCGCTCGACTTACCTATGACCACAAACTGAACATTTAAACGGTCTATAATAACCTTCAGTTGTATTTCCAGGTAAGCTATTAGTACCAACAGCACTGGCACTAGCAGAACTACCAGCATTACCACCAATCCATGTAGTCGAATTTGTTGACATATCAGGGATAGATTCACTTAGATAACGATTACGGGATAATTTCATTCGATTCATATATTCATTGTATGTTTTCTTTGCATCTTCTAAATCTAAAGTAATTGTTGTTATATTTGTACGTTCTGGATGAGCAACCTGTGAATTTTTGTTTTAGGCAAAATTAAAATGGTTGATTAAATATGAAATAAGTAGTATTTACAAAGTATGATGAATTATTTTCATTTATTAACCATCAAGAATTGGTTTTGTAGGGATTTTCTGTTTGATTGATGGAGGATTTCTGCGTGAAATGATAACAGTTACAGAACCATTGGAAAACCTTCAGGGAGTACCGGACAGCCAACTGTTTCGTCAGCCTAGTTTGAGGCTCTTCATCAGTTCTCGCTATGTCATAATTGGCTGGTAGAAGTTAGAATTCATGGGCTTAATGATCTACGAGCTAGCCCACATTGTAACCAGGAGGTCCTGCGCACTGCTGAAGAGCCCCAAACTAGGCTGACGAAACAGTAGGCGGCTGTCCACCAGTACATTCTACAGGTTTTTTCAATGGTTCTCTAACTGATGTCAGCTCATGCTGAAATCCCCCAACCAATAGAACTGTCGTTTTTATTTATTCCTATTAGTAAATTAGTTATCAAAACCGAATGTCACTAGTTCAGTGGTCCAGTACTCGCCAATTACGCCTCAGATGGTCCAAGGTTCTACCCCGGCCGACGTACTCCTTAGCCTCACTTAACCGGTAAAGAGGGATGGGAAGAAAAAAGGGGGTTGTTAACACTCTGATAAGTTATCGTTGTTATTGACTGGAGTGATGTTCATAATAATTCTGATTCACTAATAAGAGCAGTCGGTCTGTTTCTTAGACCATAAACAGTAGATTTGTCGAAGATGAACCCTCTCTTTGTAATTTATACAGTGCAATATGAAATTTCACATATGAGTGGTATTCAACTGCTCAGCTACTAATTAATCAATCAGCAGCATACACCGTCATGCATTTATAATTTACTAGTTCACCTATTTCGATCAGTTACATTATATTTCAATTTATTTTATTTTTGTTTTCTTTCCCTTGCGTTCCTTGTGGAATATAGGGGGCTTCAAGCTAGAGATCTGAATTTTCGGTAGCAGTGGAGTTTACTTTTACAGGATGAGGTTGCTAGCCACCTTCCCTCTTTACTGGCCTTACAACCGGCTTAGCAAGGTTTGGAAGTGCGTCGGCCGGGAATCGAACCCCGAACCATATGCTTGGCCAGTGGGCATCCTACCACTGTGGCACCGACGTATCCCAATGCGTACTTTTTGTGAAAACTAGGAGAATAAAGAATTGAACAACAACAACAAGCACCAGTCACTATCATCAACAGGAGAATTCTAAGGGAAGTCATCTCTTTCATTTAGCCGACTGGACAGCATCTTTTCAACTATGAGCAGGGTATCGCCAGGATCGGAACAGCAAGACAAACCTTCATTGCTCTGAAATCCTTACGGAAATCTGCTGCACTAAGCATACGGAACACAATGCTAATGTCAATTTAGTCAATGCCTCTGCATGGTTCACAGACTTGGCAAGCGCGTTACGAAAAAGTATTTCCAACAGATCACCGCCTTCTCTGATTCCTGTACGGAATATCAGTTAGGTGACTGGAAAGGTGGAAGGAATAAGGAAATCCACTAGGCGACAAATCTACCAAGAACTTGTCGCCAACCCAACAAATATGCAGAGGGAAATGGAGATTGGTTAGACATACAATGCTGAGGACACCGCTGAGTGGAACCTCAATGGGAAATGACGAGTTCGGTCGGTTTTCGACATAGAACTTTGCACATATGTGCGGCAGTTCAAGTCACCACACGCCCTCCATGTAGCACATAAAGCAAGAGAAGAAAGTAGAAGAAATGTATAATATAGTCAGTAAACAGAGGTGTGAGACAAAGGAATAGTAATAACGGAGAACAAAACAGTTTCATTGGAAATCATAAGTCACAAGGAGTGGATTCATCTGCGCTGTGCATTGAGAACGATTTTGAGCCATGTCACCAATTGTTTCCAACCATTGGTTTTTACCGGCCCGAGGACCCCAACCAGGAAGTCTACACCTTCCTACGTGGCTTAAGCTAACTGTTGTAGATTTCATTGACTGCTGAAACCATGTTTTGGTTTGACCACCGCTAGCTCTTTTCCAGCCTGGCCCTATATCAGCTAACATTGCCTATTGTCGAGGAAGGCGATGACTAGGCATACGTAACACATGTCCTAACCATCTCAGTCGATGTAATTTCACAGCCTCGTCTGTTGATTTCCCCGCCTTACCTAGCACTCGACCGATGCCTAACCTCAATATTGCTCACCCTTTTATACCATTTCACAAGGGAGATAGAACGCAGACACCTATGATCAAAGACAGCTAGCCTGTTTTTCATGTCTTCCACTCTCAATGGCCAGATCTCACTCGCAGCCATAAAGGAGGACGGAGCGGACTGTTGAGCAGTACACACGCCCTTTGGTCGATAGTCGGATATCACGTCTACGCCAGAGACGGCGTAAACTGGCATAGGCGAAACTAGCCCTCTGTATTCGTGCTGAGATTTCGTCGGAGATCAACCCGTTGGCACTAGCTGATGGTACTTCCCAAGTAAGTGAAGCGGTCAGTTCAGTATCTGAGGCTGACATAAATTGCATAATCTGAAGAATTCTTGTTAGAATACTCTACTGCAACCTAAAGCCCACTTTGACATAACAAACAATTGATTTCTAACAATGGAAAAACCCCTAACCAGACAGTCAGATGAAGAGTGTGGAATTTAGTGGATTAGTCCTCTACGCCTTGATTTGATTGGCTAAAATGATTATTCTCGACTCAAATGAATCATTTAGGATGCAAAAAAAAGAGAACAGTCTCATATACACCTACTTTTATATGCTTATTGATGTCCCATTTCCAGTTGGAACGATGACCACAACCAGAACACTGAAATCGTTTCCATTGTTCTTCCTTTGAGTTTCCATTATTATTATTATTAGTAGTAGTAGTATTACCATTCATACTACTTCTACTACTGTTGTTATTATTAGTAGTATATGTACAAAAACTTTTACTTGAAAGACGATTATATGATGTAGACATTGGTGCAGATTTACGTCCACTACTATTTCGTGTTGTCAATAAACGATGGGATTCACGTCGTCTACCACCATCACCACCTGGTGTGAAAAAACGATTCATCTGCAATTGTTGCTGTTGTTGCTGCTGCTTCTGATGATGATGGTGGTGTTGAGGATGTCGTTGATGTTCTTGACTTAATGCAGGCAGTGTTGATGATAACGGTGATAACGGTGATGATTTTATCGAATCCACTTCCATAGTAGCAGGTAAAGACCATTCTGATGTTGTTGATCTGGTATCTTCCCAACAGTTCACTGAATTACTATTATTATTATTATTCGATTTAACAGTATACTTTAACAGTTCATTACTTGGAGTTATATTCATCTCTGACAGTAAACAGGCATCCTTTTGATTTGTTGTTGAAACTGTCGGTAATCCTATGGATTGTTGATGATGTTGATGAACTAATGACTTGAATATATTTTGAAATGACATATTCGTTGGTGTTGCGAGGGTAGATATTGCTCCACTACTACTACTACTGACAGACGTTGTAGGTATCAGTGATGAGGAGGATGAAGAGATTGACGATAGGATAGTAGTAGTAGTAGTAGTAGTAGTAGACACTGGTGGAGTTGTCATACTTAGGATAATATCTGAATATGCTGAATATGATGGTGGTAATGGTGGTAATGGTGCCGACAATGTGTCAGAAGCAGTTTTATTCACTAAAACATCATTCTGGTGTAAGTCATGTGTTTGTTGGTTTTGTTGTTGTTGCCATGTGTGAAGTAAGCCTGTCATTAAAACTTGTTGTTGCAGATTGAATAGTAAATTCATAGCAGTTGTTGTAGCCGTTGCTGTTGATGTTGTTGTTGCTGCCGCTGAAGAGGCATTCCCTTTTAAAGAAGGATCCGAAATCAATGAACCAATTGTATATGGTGACATAATTGATGGATTAACACTATTATTATTATTATTAGTATTATTATTATTATTATTACTGTAATCATTCAGTGGATGTGTAATAGATGGGAAATTATATCTAAGATCAGACAGACCGGTGGATGGTATTGTTGCGGATACAGAGTACAGAGTATTCGAATTGGTTTCTGTTGATAAACTCGGCAAAGGATGATTATACTGATGATGGATGTACTCTTCACTACTAGAGAATTTCAATGAGTTTGGGGATTTTGGTGATGATTGTACACGTGGAAACAATAGCGCAGTATTCTATTCATTAGGAAAAAAAATTAAAGGTTTCATAAAAAAGGGTAAAGTATATGAGTCTATAATGAACTGTAATAATAATATATTTACAACAAAAGCATGCATTGAATAAAATAGGTTATACTATACCTCCTAACATACAAGAGTAAATGTAGCCAAGATGACATGCATTGTGAAGAGAAATACTTTGTGGGAAAAAAAGGAGTCCATCTGATGTGCATTTTTCAACAGAGACAACAAGAAAAATAGAATGCAGGATTTCATTATCAGCTGACACCAGTTTGAGAATCATTGGAAAACCTGCCAGGGAGTACTGCCAGACAGCTGTTTCGTCCTAGTTTGGCACTCTTCAACGGTACTTAACCAACGGCAGAGTTCAAAACCAGGACCTTCTGGTTACAAGGTGAGCTTCCTTGTAGACTGTTAAGCCATGCGACCTGATCGAATGGCCGATGAATATAAACTTCTGGCAGGATAGATACTTGCCGAAGACATTGGCAAGTAGTTGCGCTATTTCATGAATTGGCAGAAGTTCGAATTCATGAACTGGCCAATGGATTGGGTGCCTTGTAACTCGAGTTTCAACCCATTTAGATGCATACTGCTGAAAAGTTCCAAATTAGGAGGATACAGTTGTCCAGTACGCCATACTGGTTTTCCAATGGTTCTCTAAATGATGTCAGCTCATGATGAAATTCTCCAACCAATCAAACAAAATCCCTACAAAATCAATAAGTGAAAACAAACACTGTAACACCATTCCACTGGTTAGTAATTCCGTGATTGGGTAATAGTAGTGCACACTGATGAAGACTCTCGAGTTAGGACGAAACAGATGTTCAATGATTCCTGGATTTTAATGATCTTGGTTCACGACTAAAGCTTCATTGAGAAATAAGTGTTCGTGGAAGAAAAACATAAAAAATAAAACAGTTAGGTGGTTTTATGTTCCTCATCAAGTAGTCAATGAATGTGAAACCGAAGGCAAAGAACACAGTAACAATGTCTCCTCGATCAAAAATAATTTTTCATACAAGTTAAAACAGATATTTTTCTCTTTAAAAATGATGCTACTTAATATTTGTTAGTAGTTAAATAAATATAAGAAATTATATTGGCATAACTTATTATTAATGTTAATTGTTATTATACTAAATGAACTCAGGAAAATATAAAAGTTAATACTTTAGTTTTATGCTGAATGTATTACACAACTGGTTAAAAGTGATTTTAAATTAATAAGCACTTCCCAGCGATTGATTATATTAGACCAAAATTCCTAATTTCAGTAGTAGAAGCACTTCAACGATACCAAGAGATTAACGAGATGCTCTTTTGGCTGATTTTTGCTGTCCTTTGAAGTTTCTGTAGTGATGCGATTGATTTTCCAAACTTCCTCCATTTTCCAGTCTTATGATCGGCTAGAAAACTAGAGAACTAGTAAATTAAGCGAGGTCAGAAACTTGGCTGACCCACACGCCTTACGAAAAGCATTTCCAACAGATCACTGCAGATTTTTATCAACAGATGCCTTCGCTGGCTCAGTACTTAAGATCAGAAGACTGGTAAGAAAGAATCACCGACAAGAAACTGTGAGAATGAACCAATGAAGAAAAAACTGCTCAACAACTGTTCCAAAGAAAATGTAGGCGGATCGAATACATGTTGAGTGACATCGCATGCCAGGTATGCTGTTGAGTCGACGAAGTCAAGTGGGGAACGATGAGCTTTGCTGGGCGTCCGACGGTAACGTGGAGGCGATTATGTAGGACGGAGAAGAGATCCTATCCAAAATTATGCAGCCAGCTGCAGAGGCCTATGTGAACACTCAGAACCCAAGGGAATAACAATAACAACACACATATTTTTGTTGACACTGACTAGTAGCGAAAACCCTCATGAACACTTCGTCCTATTTAGGACTCGCCGGATGGATGTACCTGCAGCACTGCACAGTGAATGATGGTGTTCCCATTGAGGCTGAAGCAGTTCTAAAAGCCAAAAGTTGTGCTGTTCTACTCTCCATGGCATATAGAGGATAATGCTTCAACCGGTGTGGGGTTTCAATGTCAGTGAGAGCAACATCACTCACTCACTAGGAACACAGGAGTATCTAGCTGACGAGTCCCAGATAGGACGAAATGTCTATTTTTAGATTCCACTACTAGTCACCAATGTGAAAGGGTTTTGTTTTTCTGTCAAAACTTGTCATGATGCAAGATATGAGAAGCTGCCTACAACCAAGGGGATACTGGAATTATACTAACACTACAAACTAATAGGTTAACATAGCAAAGTCGAAAACTACACACAGTCACGCGCGCACACACGCACGCACACGCAAACACTTGCAAACGTGCACGCATAGTTGTTTAGTACAAACCAAAAAATATAAAAAACGAAAAATCTATTTGTTAGTTATCAGCAAAAAGAGAAATAATATTCGTGCATATTAAGAAGAAAACAAAAGTAGGGTGATGTTTTGTCTCAAAAATGCGCTATATATATGTATATACGTACATATTCACAACAAGAAAGACTGGACAACATTCATACGATGTAAACTAAATATTGTATAGAATATATATATATATACATAATGCTGTTATTATTATTATTATTATTATTGTTATTCTCATTAGTGTTAGGTAATAACAATATTAATAGTAGTAGTAGTAGTAATATAGTAGCAAACATTCACGACTGACTGACTTGTAATCATCATATTTAGCTCCTGAAAGTTGAAATTAAAACAATCAATAAGTTAGATAGACTAAATTTACACAATACTGGTGACTTTGCTTTGTTGACCGAAAAACTCCTCTAACCTTAGTACCACATTTTGAATAGTATACAAAATGTGTTGTGTACACCTTAACAAATCATAATAAACATATTTTCTATAGAGTTTGGTTTGTAAGGCTTAGTTTTGTTTTTTTACGAGTTGATCACGGATTGATATCAGTTAGAGAACCATTGAAAACAACCAGGGAGTACTGGATAGTGGGTGACTGCTAAACTAGGATGAAACACAGCTGGCTGTCCAGTATACTCCACTACTGGTTTTCAATGGTTCCTCTAACTGATATCAATCCGTGATCAACAAGGAAAAACATATAGACACATTTCAGGAAAGGCGTATTGTAGATAAATTTGTTGTTGATATAAGTATAAAACTTGGGCACTGTGGTAGAGTGTAACTCCATTATGGATAAGATTTTATTTTGATAAATCACACAGTGCAGTGTTATGCAGTAATATTAACTGATGACCACGTTTCCAGCACAAACTATTGCCACTCATAATCATATCAAGGCATTACTCATACAACTTTTTCCTTCATTTATATACATGTGTGGAATTGACTAGATATTTGAATAAAAATCACTATGGGATAATGTACATTCAGAAATAATAATATGAGTGTTGTTGATCAATAACAATCAGATGGGAAATAAGACGAGTGTTTTTATAGTCATAATAAGTAACCTCTTAGAATGTTGTGATGTATGTGAATTGAAATAGAATTTTGAGATTATTTATTATCGCTCTTCTGATTTGACTGACTGGTGGTAATAATATCTTCCATATTTCTGGTATTTGCATTGAGTCATTTCTGTTGCATGTGTTGGGTGTGGACTCGATGAACCAGGCAGGATTCAGTAATCAATCTCTCTCTCCACCTACATAGATTACTTCTTAGAATCTTAACCCTCTCCCACCCTATTGTGTGGTTGTGTGTTATTTTATTCCTTCTGAGGGTAACTGTTATTTCTGAACACTCTTCACAATAATTAGAAGATCTTCGTCTAATTTTCCAGTAGAGCATATTAGTTTAGCTAGATAAAACAAACTTTTGTCCAGTGCCCGTTTATGGGGGATAACTGGACAGGAGGTCAATCTCAAGTCCGAATAGCTCAATGGTAACGTCTCTAAACGCATTCGAGTCTCAGAGGGGACGTAAGTTCCTTCAGGAATGCGGATACACCTTGCTGACTGATGATGAGTGCTAACAAAATTACGAAACCTAGGTTAGCGACCATACCTTCCCTCTGATTGCCTGCAACTACCACCTTAAAATGACAGCAATAGTTCCGAGTTCACCCCACTATGACGAGCTACCCCACCCACCTAGTACAGTGGCCACATTGCAGACTTAACTGATAGAATTCAGTCTGCCAATACAAGGTTTGATCTTATTCTGTACAAACAACTGTGTAGAGAGAACACTCCTTTATGTGTTTAATATAAATATTTACAATACACTAAAAGAGATAATAGAATAAATAAATGAATAAATAAACTCCGGCCGGAGGCACAAATTACCTTGATTTCCTCCTCAGCCTTTAAGCTGTTACTATGATTCTGAGAATAACCAATTGAAAGATCAATCGGCACTGTATCACTAATTAAAGCCTCTTTCTCTGCAGCTATCAACGAATAAGAAGAAGAAGACCCATCATTGTTATGCTGACCAACTGATGATTGTTGTTTCATTGTTGAAGAAGCAATTAAATTCAACGGGGTTAATTGATCTTTCTCAAGCATAGTAGCAATTTCACCCAACTTCGAGTACTTCTTCTGATCACAATCGACTAAGGATAAACAACTTCCATTAGAATTTGGTGATGAAATTGACGATATCGATGATGAGGACGCCGACGCCGACGCTGATGCAGATGCAGATGCAGATAATAATATCTGAGATTGTGTTGGAGTGAACTGTGGTTGACTGAACAACTTCAATTGCTGTTGTTGCTGTTGCTGGAGTTGGTGTTGAAACTGTTGATGACCACCAATAGGCAGAAATGATACAATCTGTGAATCGATCCATGTGAATGGTTGTATTGTTGAAGAACACGAAGATAACACAGATGTCGTAGTAGTAGTAGAAGTAGTTGGCGTAGATAAAGATGACAAAGATAAACAAGATGAAGTGCATGTTGATACTGGAAGTGTCAGTGGCAGTCTCAGTTGATGACATGACGTCGTTGACACCATTGCCACTGGTGATGACGGGAATTTATCCTCATCAACAGTCTCTGTGGTAGTGGTAGTAGTAGTCGCAGTAGTCGCAGTAGCAGTAGCAGTGGCAGTCGAAGTGTTAATTATTGTAATTGGCAATTGATTACACTGTGGATGTTGTTTTTTCATATGTTTTGTAATATCCCACTTATAATTACTGCGTTGTCGACAAATAGGACATTGAAATTGTTTTAAATTGATATGACTAGCCATGTGATTTTTTAATTTACTTTGATTTTGGGCTTGATAAGAGCAAATATCACATATAAGGTTGCTGTTACTGTTGTTACTGTTATTATTATCTGTAGTAAATGATAGACAACTCTGTGATAGATGATTTCCGTAGAGATTACTTTGGAGAGTAGGATTCACAACAGTATTACTGCTCATTGTTACTACTGTAGTGTTTGTAGTAGTAGTACTATAGGGATGAGCACTCATAGGAGTATTGCCTAGTTCATTATATACAGAAGAATTTTTGCCTTTAGAAGCCTTTTCATCTGATTTGATTACACTGCTAACTTTAATATCATTCTCCGTGGAACTATTCTCTGAATTTTCGATATCAATACTTTTATGAATAGTACTCACTATATTCGGAAGAGTAGTAGTAGTACCACTACTTGTGTTAATAATTTGTTCCTCTTCATCTATTTGTAAATAACAATTGTACTGTTCACTAAGATTTTCTCCATCACTACTTTCTGTGGTAATATCAAGTTGTGAAATCGAGTAATTCGAGGAGTTGTTACATTCACCACCAGTTGTTGTCGTTGTTGTTGTTGTCATCGCTGACGCGGATGCAGATCGTGTACCAGCATTATTTTTAAACTGTGACATAATTTTTATCAATTCTGTTTCACATGTAAAACGTTCTCTATGATGTGATTCCATATGACGTTTTAAATCACCTTTCCATGCACTACGATATGGACAAAAGACACAAATAAAGGGTTTAACACCCCAATGTAATCGCATATGTCGATTTAATTCACTCTGATATTTTGCTACATATTTACAATGACTACAACAAAAACTGCCAGCTTTACCATTTCTTGAATTTTCACGTGATTTTTGCATACCATGGACAGAACGTAAATGTTCAGTTAAATCACCATGCCACGGAAAAGTTGTTGGACAGATGTTACACCTGATAAGAAAGATTTAAAAGAAAAAAAATTTTTTTTAAAAAAAAGATAAAGAATGCAATTTCACAGGGGGAAGAGTTCAACACAAAAGGTTAATTTGAATAAAAACAAGAACAGAAACAGTGTTGAATTGCTGGTTTGTAGGGATTTGATTGGTTGTTCACAGGATTTCATCATGAGCTGACATTGGTTAGAGAACCAGGGAGTACTGGACAGCCGACTGTTTCGTCAGCCTATAGTTTGGAATTCTTCATCAGTACCCACCCACCTCCAGAGTTCCAACCCATGACCTTCCAGTTACAAAGAATGCAATCCTGTAATCAATCAATCAAATCCCTACAAACCAACACTTGAATGTCGATGAGATGCTCACTAGCGACTTGCCCTATTCACTTAGGTAGTTACTTGGGGTTCTATATATATATATGTATATATATATATATATATTATTACTGTATGCATATATTGATTGATTGATTTTTGTTCAAAAATGAACTCTGCGCAAGTATGTTAAAATTGTTTCAGTAGACATACTACTTAATAATGACTTTGGCCTGTAAGCAGCTGATGAGAAACCAACGAAATAAGAGCAATGATGGTACCATCACCTTATACTGCACAAACTGTAGTTCTTGCTTTGATCAAATTCATTATTAAGGGGAATAAATGTATGAAAAATGTAAAAACAATTGGATAACATCACGCTCCAGGCATAAACTAAAGTGAAAACCAAAATGGGAAACGAAGAGTTTGGCGTCCGAGGGGGTGACATGGAAGAGGTCGTCCGAGGTGGGAGGGGAAATGAAAACCTACAGTCAGTCGTCGTTGGGCCAGCTAGCAAGTACAGAAGTGAACTGGTCGTGTTTGAGATGTACTGTTGAATATCTATCCAAGGGAGTAATAGTAATAATAATAACGATAATAATAATCAGGCCACTCGCATCAACCAGTAGTACTTGCCAGCCAGCCAGATCTAAGTGGTTTAAATACAAGACGGCGGTTTCGCTAGTTGCTTGGACCAGAAATCGGGTGGTTTCAGTTGATTTGACCCTCTGAGTTGGCTCAAACCAGGTACACTGCTGATATATGCTCGACCCAATACGAACGAAGCCACCTTCCTGTACTGAAATGACTACCATCTGGCTGGCTGGCTAACAAGTACTACTGATTGATGCTAGTGGCATACAACTACTCACCACAGTCAATCAGTAGTATATATGATTTTATGCAAAATATGCTTGTTTTCTTAGCTGTCATTTATGGTACGTACGAAGTAGATCACACATATATATGGTGATATGAATATGTCTAGTTCCCTGTGGGGGTGGTGGCGGTCGTGGTCGTGGTAGTCGTGGAGATGGAGATGGTGAAATCTCACGTCGAACTGTGTAACACAGCAATTCATGAATTCCCCTAGGCATCGTGTAGTTATGGTGGCTAAGATTATTGAAAAGGTTATTGGTCAGATTATTTCTCTTTCTCTATGATCACAACAAGAAGACGAATCATAATTTCAAAATATTCAAAGTACTAATAAAGGTCAAACTTAGAAAAAGTAAACAAACACAAACAACCACAAAGATATCCGAGTTATGAACTTTACGAATGTATTATTCTATTAAATGGAATGTTCTTCATGAGTTGTTTATTTTTCACAGCTCGGGTTATTTTGATATCATAGTAATAATAATAATAATAATAATAATAATAATAATAATAATAATAATAATAACGGAGATTAGTCAGTGTAAGATTAAACTATGTTTGTTTACTACTCTGAGCTATTGAATACTATTGAATACAAAAAGTAGTTTAGAGTAGATATTTATTACTTTCAAAACTGATCCACAGAGCAAGAGAGATTTGCTCGGATGAATGTCTTGACGAGGAGCTTAACAATATTAAACGGTTGCTAAGTGAGAATGGTTATCCCGAAAAGTTTATTGCTAAGAATATGAATCTGAAACCAAAACAGTCCAAGTTACCAACAGTTCAAAAGAAAGCCTTGTTCTTATAGATGCAGTGCCTAGGAGACAATACAAGTGAGATACTAACACATCGCCTCAGAAATTCGGTTAAAAGAGCATTCCCTGCTGCTCAATTACGCTGTATCTTTTAAACCACTCCTCTTCTGCGTTCGGGAATAAAAGACAAACTGCCTAATTTCGCCTCTTCCATGTGTATATACCAATTCAACTGCTCCTGTGAAATGAGCCAGTTACATAAGCCGTACAATTAGGTGTGTTTCTCGTCGAATTTCCGAACATCACCCTGCACAGTGGTTGGTTAAGCAAAGGTCAAACAAAATCTATTCGCAGCGCTATTCTGGTGCATCTTGTGGAGACAGAACACAAGATTGACGTTAATCATGCTTTCAGGGTCATTTACCGCATACCTACGAATCTCAATTTCGCTTTAAGAGTTCGACTTCTAAATATTGCTGGGGCTGTGGGGATTCATATTAATAAGCCTAATTTATGCACCCATTATCATTACCTTGGCCATCCAGGTTTGAATAATCCAGAATTTTCGTGAAATTTCCCTAATTTTAGTTGATATTCTATTCGCTGTTATATCTTTATTATTATAATTATAATTTAAGCATCTTTAATGAACTGCAGTAGCATTGACCATACTTTACAAATCGATATTATTTAAAAAACGCTAATATTGTTATTAACTACTAATTTAAAATATTCTGTGTATTTAACACATATATATTATTGTAGAGCCTGGAAGAGGAATTTATCGAAAAGAATATTCTTTGCTCGATTATTTTGTGATTGAAATCAGTTAGAAAACCATTGAAAACCAGGGCGAAGTGTTGGGCAGCTGTTTTGTCCCAGTTTGGGACTCTTCATGAATACGCGCCCACTGCCATAGTTCGAACCCAGGACTTTCCAGTGACAAGTCAAGCCCACAGACCATTCAGCCACTGGGACCCAACACCTCAATGGCCAGACCATGAATTCTGACTTCTACCAATTCGTGATGCATTTAACGCGACTGGCACCAACCAATGTCATCGGTGGGACATCCATCCTCACACTTGACGTCTGGATGGAACTTACTGGTCACGACTTCTCACTAGAACTCACTCCAGGAAACTTCATCCTATAGCAAGCGTCACTAGCGAGTATCAGATTAATTTTCTATAGTTTGGTTTGTAAGGATTAGATTTGTTTATACGAGTTTGACTACGGATTGATATCAGTTAGAGGAACCATTGAAAACCAGCACTGGAGTACTGGACAGCCAGCTGTTTCGTCCAACTTGTTTGGGACTCACTGTCAGTACTCACCCACCACAGTGGGGTTCGAACCCAGGACCTTCCGGTGACAAGGCAAGCTGGCTCGCATACCATTCAGCCACTGGGACCCGATTCAGTAGTCAGTTTATGAATTCTAACTTCTACCAATTCGTGATGCATTTAGCGCGACCACCGTTTTTATTATTATTATTATTATTATTATCTAAGTGGAAGACTGACTGATAAGCTTGAACACGGTTGAATGATTATCGTTTTAGCGTATTTTTACTCAAATGGATTTTTTCTCGTTCCCAGTGGAACATAGCGGGCTTCAAGCTAGGGGGTTGAATTTTCAGTAACAGTGGTGTTTATTACTTTTACAGGATGGGGCTGCTAGCCTCATGCTAGCCTCAACCTTCCCTCTTTGCCGGCCCTACTACTGGCTTCCGGGCTGGGGCCCGCCCTCAGGACTCTAAGAATCAATGGCTGGAGACACTAGGTGACATGGCTCAAAATCGTTGTCAATGGCTTACGCAGATGTATTCAGTCTCTGTAATCTTTCATATTCCTTTCTACCATTACTCATTCTGTTTCACTCTTATACTTGTCTAAATTCTATTGATTCTCTTCACTCATTGTCTTGTCTACCTTTGTGTGCTATTTGGAACGTGACAACTCGAACTGCTGTACTTCGGTGCCAAGTTCTCTGTTGAATCCAGCAGCAGCAGCTACTACTGGCTTAGAGAGGTGAAGGAGTGCATCGGCCACACGAGTGGCCGGCAAGCATTCTACCACTATTACCACCGACGCACCTACTGAAATTTATTCAAGTAATAATATGTAACCGTAAAATTCGAAAGTAGTACATCACTGTGAAATATTACTGCTGGAGGGTCTTAGACAAGATACTTGATTGATCACTGTTTTGCCAGGATTTTCTTCACTTATTCAAGTAAAACTTCACGAAGAAGACACTCAGCTAAAGGGGTTAATTGATAACGGCAACCCTGAAAACTTTATTACCAAAAAAAAAACATGGCCAAGAGAGAGAAGAAAAGAATTCCTCCGTATCTGCTAATAAGAAGCCTCTCTCTTTATACACTTTTTTTTTCCTTCACGTTCCCAGTGGAACATAGGGCCTCATTTTTGATTGCACACTAGTCAGTTACTAGTGTAATGTGTCTAGTCCTAACTTCGGTGCAGACTGAATTCTATCAGTCATGTTTGCAATGTGGCCACCATGCTAGGTGGCTCGCCATTACGGTGCACTGTGAATTGTTGGTATTAGATGGTTGGAGGCAATCGGCCACAGGAAGCCTTGGACCTAGGTTTCGTGCTAGTCGGCACTCATCAGCAAGGCGTATCTGCAACCTTGAAGGAACTGATGTCCCTTCTGAGATTCGAACCCGCGTCACCCAGTGCTGCCTTCAGTCAGAGACGTTACCACTGAGCTATTCAGGCTCGCGACTGACCTCCTGTAGAACTGTATTTGATATTTTTGATTGCAATCAAAATATCCAATCAATCCAATCCAATCAATCAAAATCCAAGCAATCAAAAATATCCAATACAGTCCTATAGGAGGTCAGCCGCGAGCCTGAATAGCTCAGTGGTAACGTCTCTGAATGCAGGCAGCACTGGGTGGCGCGGATTCGGATCTCAGAAGGGACATCAGTTCCTTCAAGGTAGTTGCAGATACGCCTTGCTGATGAGTGCCGACTAGCATGAAACCTAGGTCAGGCAAGGCTTCCTGTGGCCGATTGCCTCCAACCATCTAATACCAACAATAGGGCCTCAAGCTAATGGCTTGAAGTTTCTGTAGCAGTGTCTAATTTTTACAGGATGGGGTTGCTAGCCTCATGCCCAATCTTTCCTCTTTACCAGCATTATTTCTGGCTTAGCGAGGTAAAGCAGTGCGTCCATTGGCCGGGTATCGAACCCCGGACCATGTGCATGGTCCGCGAGCGTCCTAACGGCTATGCCACCGACGCACCCTCTTTATACATACGACTACAGTTCAAAGATGATAGACATACATACACACCAAGTGATGAAATAATAACTAACAACAAGTTGAGAAAAAGTTTATTCAAAGGACATTTAATACTGACAGTGACTTGCAGACTACATTTTCCACACAAACGGTTGTGATTCCCAAACCGAAAGGTATGTAGGTATGTAGGGGCTAGCCACCTCTAATCGTATCTATTATCAATTCAGCAGCTCCTCTCGAGCCGTCTATATTAGCCGTCAGTTCCTCAACGGGAACTTAATTATTCGTGCTTGGGAACACACCTACCGGTGAGGCTTAATAAGAGTGTTTGTTTATAAAGCCATTAACACTTCACCCGAAAGGGTCACAAAGCTAGCTGGCTGGCATTGATGAGTCTTTCTCTGTCATCTTCTAGTGGGTATCCAATAAATTACTAAATGCCTCTAGATATCGAATACTCCGAATAACAGAGGCCAGAGTTCTACGTGCCTCCAAAGCCTCAGGATGGTCGGGGGTGGGTGCCTTGCGCTGCGGGTTGGCCACCCCTCCGCACACCTCTTCAAATGCTCCCATATGACCGGGCGTCTTACATAGCCTCTCCTTAGGAAGTCCTACTCACTGCCTTCACGTGGCGGAGGTGTTTTTCACCAAAGTGAGAGGGCGAAAGCGGATGCCCGGCGCTCTTCACCGGGTTGACTGTCCATTGGATGACAGTCTAGGGGAGATGGCTAAACCCTGATTCCAAACCTCCAACGACTGGCGTATGAAGCTCACTGGAGCTCACCGGCAGACGTATGGACAAAGGGCTTGTTGGATGTCCTGGATGTCTGGCCCCATTCAAAAAGGCGTATGAACCGAACTCCGGTCACCGGCTGCCAATGGATAGTGGACTCCCTACTCCACTCCTACTGCCTTGTAGGTCACACTTGGTTGTGTAAAGGCTAGAGCTGCACTCTCAAACAAAAGGCTGAGGGATTCTGGGGACATCACTCTTACCAAATTCCCATGAAACTTCATGAACTCTCTTCATCAGATCGCCGCGCCTGGGCAGCGATGATTCGGGATGTTCATGAAGCCGGCTCATCCTCCCGTAGGAGATAGCCGAAGTAAAGTAAAGTAAGTAAGTGCAAAATAAAAAGGCCCATTCAGATTTGGTTTATATTAATTAGTACGTTTGTTAATCGCTGGCTGATTCACTTGAGTACCAAGCAGGCTTCTAGGAATTCCCTGACTGCACATCACTGTCTGGTGTTTCTTCCTTTGTTTAAAATTTCGACATTATCCCAATCATCAAATTGATGTCCCTATTTATCAACATGCATTGATATGAAAGTACATATATATCATGTCTTTTAACAGCCAATTTATGTTCTTGGATTCTGATTCGAAGGGGACGCCCACTTTGTTGACCGATGTATCGTCTGTTACAGTTCATACAATTTATTTTGTAAATGTTATCGATTTTATCTTCTTTTTCTGTTGGATCTTTTAGCTGGCTGGCTTGTGTGCCATATCTGTTTCAAACGGTTTTAATATTTTTATTATATATGGTAGGATGAATTTTCTTTTTTTAAATATAATATTAATAATAACATCTTTATTCTGGACAGTATTTAAAAAATGTACAGAATTTTTAGAGGAGTTGATTGCATCACAATTTTCCCTTCGTTCAATATATTCAAGTAAAATATTAACTGATTGACAGTAGTATATCCTGTGACACACAGTGGTCTCTGAGTTGAAGCACAAACTATCCCATTATGATGATATATCTACTTTGTCTCCTGCCTTCAGGAAATTCACGACACTGATCTAGTTGGAAGCCAATTGTAAGATGTTCCGAAGAACATTTTGAGACTCAAGGACATAGTTCTCTCATGTATTGGAACACTTCTCCATCCACAGTCAGGCCTTTCGTCAAGTTTAGTAGGAACTTGGGCGAAGTTCAACAATAGTGTCCCAGGGAAGTGCGAACGCTCCAATGACCTTGAACGCATGCTAGTCGTCGTTGGCTAACGGCACTTGTCATTATCATCACAGCTGAAATATCAACGCTATTCACGAACTAAGCGGAAAATTTCACTCAAATCACGTGTTTAAGTACTGTTCGGACAATATGTTAATAGCTCGTTAGGGTTAGCATTAGGGTTATAATTAGGATTAGGGTTAGGATTAAGGTTAGGGTTACGATTACGGATAGATTTAAAGTTGATGACAATTATTTTAATTTGTCTTCTTATCCACATTTTCCTTGTAAGTAGTCGTCGATCCTCTTACTGTGAATCATAGTACTTCAACCGAGGGCTTTTGTCGAAGACTGCACAACAAAATAAGAGAGATAAATAATTCACAAAAATAGCTCATCTTCAGTCGCCTCGGTGAATACATGTACAGAAACTAGTCTAACCTAGCAACTTATACTCCTCATTATAACTAGGAAGTATTTTTAAGTCATGTCACAGAGAAAGATGCCCTGTTTATAATGTGTTTTCATGCATTCTCTTGAATATATATACGTCATTTTTCATGCAAAAATTCCTCATTTTTGTGATTGGTCGGCTCAAAGACACTCGTGCGTTCGCATCCCTTTTGGGACGCTATTGTGGAACTTTGCCGGAACATGCAAATCAGAAGTTTGTAAACATTTTAAATACGGTAACGTCTCTAACTGACTGACTGCATTATTGGGTGACTCGGGTTCGAATCTCAGAAAGGACACTAGGTTCTTTCAAGGTGATTGCAGATACGCCTTACTGACTACTGGTGAGTGCCAACTAGCACGAAATCTAGGTCAGGCAAGGCTTCCTGTAGACGAATGCCTCTAACCATCTAATATCATCAAATCAATAAAGCTAGTTATTCTTGTAAAAAAAGAGTCAGTAAAGTAGATTAACGGCAAGTTTTGATTGAAGCCAATACCCAAGTGTATAAAAAAACGTGGTTCTCTTTGGCCCCAGAGCGTGTCTACTGAACACTATGACTAAAAGTTTGAAATGATAAATGCTGGTTACGAATTTCAGTAGGGACACTGTCACTCTCTCACTCACTCACTCATTCACTCAACATCCAGGTACATCCTGTTGACGAACTGGAAATAGAAAGAACGCACACAATGCGAGTCACTACTCTTAAGTCTGTGTGGAGGTCAACAACACTCAGCATCAAAAATAACATCCGGATTTGCAACTCCAATGTGAAACCAGTCAGTGCTACTATACGGATCAGAGACTTGCACTGCGCGTCATAAAGAGCATCTCAAACAAACTACAGAACTCCATTAACAGTTGTCTTCGCTCAATACTCAAGATCAGATGGCCGGTCAGAAAAGATCAGCAATAGTGCTCTCTGAGAGCGAACCAACCAGGAACCGATTGTGAAACAAATATGAAGAAAGAAATGGAGATGGATTGGCCATACTCTGAGGAAACCATCAAGTGACATCACTAGACAAGCCATTGCTCGAGTGGAACCTGAAAGGGAAGCGGCGAGTTGGTCGTCAGTGCCAGGGTGACTTGGATGAGGTCATGTGAAGAGGAGATGAAAACGTGTGGGAAGACTCTAGCAGAGAACCGAACTTAATGGAGACACACGGCTGAAGCCCTATGTTCCTCTAGGAATTAAAGGATACAATAATAATAATGTATATATATACAGAGTGATTGATTCCAAGCGTTTAAATGATACAATATAATTCAAAAAATATACCCTTCCCTATTTTTATTCAACTTACCGATAACGTCTTCTTGAATCAACCTTTTTAACAATAGGTTGACTAAAATCCTCCTCTCCTACTATAGGTGTACTCTTCACCCCTGGTGCTGTTATACTTGTCATCGTTGCCATTGGAGAAGATAATGACGTTGACGATGACGATGTAGGTGTGGATGTCGATGTCGATGTCGACAGAGAAATGGATGACTCTAACGGTAATGATTTCTCTTTATCTCCTCTCGTAGATGATGATGTTGATTGAACACTTTTCATTGCTGGTGAATATAATTTCAATGTTTTTTCGGATTGTTTAAATTTATGCAGATTATTTAAGGTTTTTGCGGAAGATTTGAGGAAGTCTAACGATGTGGAAGAAGAAGAAGAAGAATGGTATTCATCATTGGTGGGATCAATGATAGGAAGATTTGTGTTGTCATTATTAATATTATTATTACTACTATTTAACATAGATATTTGAGTAGTATCAGATAATGTTAGACTAGAATTGATGATATAATTTTTATTATATACACTATCCGAATGATCCACACCGTTTTCTTCTGCTCCTTCTCTAGATATTATATTCAGCTGTTCATTCAATGGAAATAAAGGATTCGATAATTCATGATTAGACCATAATTTAACACGTTGGGGAGTAGAAGCTGCTTGTAGAGTGAATGGATTACATGAAGACGAAGAAGAAGTATAGTCGCTGTGTTGAAGTTCTGGTTGTTCATCAGCCTGTTGCCGCTTCTGCTGATGTTGTTGTTGTTTTCCTTGTTGATAATAATAATAATCGTAAGAATCATAAGTCGAATGATGATTATTATTATTAGGATTATTTTCTGTGACTTGTTGAAGGACTGCTGAATTTTGAGAATGTTGTACACTTGTTGTTGTCTCCGCCATCGCCGACGCCGTTGCCGCCATAGTAGTACATACTTCTCCATGAACTAATTCCATATGTTCATCTTGCCGTCGTGGTGATGATGCAGAGAAACCACACACTGGACAGATACACATTGTAACATCAGCATCCTCGGCATTACTATTCGTGTTATGCCCAGATACATTTGTACTATTACTACTACTAGTACTAGGAGGAGGAGGAGTTGTAGCAGAAGTACACGGCGCAGTCGTAGTCCTGATAGTTAGCGTCGTCGAAGGAGTATTCGTGTTTTCAATACTTCCATTACTATTACTACTAGCACTAGTAGTTGTTGTTGTTGTTGTTGTAGGACTACTACATCTACTACTACTTATATTGCTACTAGTAATACTACTATTTGAAGTGTGTATTGCACTGTCTGCATGATTTGATATCTCTAAATTCATATTAACAACACCATTCGATGTACCTGTTTTTATACAAGAAAAAGTAGAAAGAATAGAAATTAATAATTATCCGTTACATATATATATATATATATATATTCTGTATAAATGTAAGCAATAGAATAATGGTCTGATAGTCTGTCTGTCTATCTATCTATCTATACATACATATTAATCAGTCAGTCAGTCAATCAGGCAGACAGGCAGGCAGGCAGTCAATCCTACTATCAGTTAGTCTATCAATCTGTGCTGAAGTGTGTGTAGTTATCCAATCAGTAATTGGTTGGTTGGTTGAACATAATTTCTCTAGCAAACAAAAGTGAGTACTTCTTCTTTCTTCTTCTTCTTCTTCTGTCTTCTATGCATCGTAAGAAAACGCTATTTTCTAACACATAAGGAGGAGGCACGCACGTACGTACGTACGTACGCAAACCAACACTCTGATTAACAGATATGAAACTATGATGATATGATCGTTTTATTCGATTCGACGTGTTAGCACACACAATCATTATCATTATCATCAGAGTAGAAATAATCAATGAAAGAGTGAGTGTGGAAACAAATATAGAAGTGGACACATTGTGTTGTTTATTCGTTACTGCGTGGGTTTGCCTCTGTGTGTGCCTGTGTGTGCCTGTGTGTTTATGTGTGCGAAAGAGAGATTCGGAGAGAGAGAGGGGCGGAGAGACACTGTCTGCAACACAACAAAAATGTTTCTTCTCTGCAATTAATGCAGATTTTCTGTTGACTTCATTACCAAAAGTGTATTCGATCATAACAATGGTGAAGACAGAAACAGAAAAACAATAACAACCACCACCACCACAACAACAACAGCGATAACAGAAAAACAGTCAAAACATGATAACATGGTACATTTGCATTCATTTTATCGAAAGAAATGTGAATGAGTAAATCTTAAGAATGCTGGTTTGCAGGCAGAGAGTGCTGGACAGTTGTTTTCGTCCTACTAGTTTGAGACTTTTCAGAAGTATATATACCCATGATCCCGCCACCACCACCAATAGGAATCGGACCTAGAATCTTCAAATATTATTAATTTTTAATGACATAACTCTGGTGTCTTCTCAGCCGCGGATAAGTCTTTCGCCTTTTACCAAAAAGATTTCTGTGCGGAGCAGCACAATACAATGAGTTTTATCTCATTTTTTCAGCTCTGTCTTTTGACAGAGTATTTTATGTGTGTGTGTGTGGGTGGCACGGTGGTTAGGATTGGCGTCGACCATACATATGGTCCGAGGTTCAATCCCCGGCCAACGAACACCTGACATCAATGGTCGGCCTGTTGAAAATTCCATACTTGTACCAAAATATTGTGTGGAATCAAGTTATACTGAATAGGATATTTTCCACTTTGATCAATTGAACCGAAATGCTCTCGGCTTCCAGTTGACAAATCAACTCTTTGTGAGGATAATTCGACGATGTCTGTGCATTAACTTGAAGTAATTAGGTAGTTGGTGACTAGTAGGAGATTCCATGATGGATTAAACATTTCAGTCCAATCAGTCAACTGGAAAAGAAAAAGAGTTTCCCAATATACGTTATGCAATTCTTGAAGGAAATGATGGAAAAATGTACAGAATTGGTTTTCTCTTCATATGCAGCAACACTACGACAAATGATGTACTTCAGATGTTTGCTTTATATTGGTTGAAGGATTTTATCATGAGCTGACACATTGGTTAGAGAACCATTGGAAAACCTGCCAGGGAGTACTGGACAGCCGACTATTTCGTCGGCCTAGTTTGGGACTCTTTAGCAATACTCACCCATCACCACGGTTCGAACCTAGGACCTTCTGGATACAAGGCTAGCGAGCTCGTAGACCATTAAGCAGCCACTGGGACCTGACTGATCCAATAGCCAGTCCATGAATTCTAACTTCTGCACATTTTTATGACATAGTACGACCAGTTCACAATGTCTTCTTCGATGAGTTAATGCCTCACCTTGCATCTGCTGTATGCTACTGGTCACGGCCTCCCACTAGAACCCCAGGTAACTAACTGCCTGAATATACGGCCAGTTGCTGGTGGGCATCAAAAGTAATTTTCAAGTATTGGTTTTTTGTACGGATTTTGATTGCTTGCTTGACGGATTTCATCATGAGCTGACATCGGCTAGAGAATCGTTGGAAAACCAACAGGGAGTACTGGACAGCCGACTGTTTCGTAAGCTTGGTTTTGGACTCTTCAACAGTACTCACCCACCGGGGTTCGAACGCAGGACAAGGGATTTGATTAGACTTAATGGTCAAAAAAAGGAATCATTAAACAACCGACAGCATTGGAGAGTGGGTTTTCTGTTTTCCTGGTTGGATAAAATCTAATAGTTTACACCCCCTTATACCAACAGAGGTAAAACCTTAACCGATATCAGCTCATGATGAAATCCTCCAACCAATTTAAAACAAAATCCCTACAAAACCAATACCTGAATATTACCCTGCACGTAAATTCTGTATGAAAAGAAAAAAATACTTTGTAAGTAAATACGATGAAAATTTTTTTGTGATATTTATGTTCACATATGTTCTCTCATGGCCTAAATGATCTAGTGGATACCGACGCTTGAGTGTGTGGAACGATGTGTCTCAAGTTCGAGTCCCAGAGGACTGGGGGAGCACCATCAGTCACTCACTCACTCACTGGGGAATGCAGGTACATCCATCAGATTATGAGTCCCAAAATAGGATGAAGCGCTCACAATTAGTGTCACTCAATATCCACCAAAAATACATTAAAAAACAAATATGAGATAATATATGTGGTTCTGAGGAAATTATTTGTTGTACAATAATAATAATAATTTGCTTTATTCCAGAAACAGTACTAGTGGTACAGTGTGGAATTTTCAGCACATATCTACAATATTTGCATCTAATTTTACAAACATTTAAAATAAGTACAAAACAAACAAAAAAAAATCTGAAGACACCAACAGCAAAAAAAGCAGGATAAACACAAAATAATTGTAAATGCGAAAAAGCACCAAAAACTAACAAGGTCTAATGCAGTGTTTGTGGTGGTAGTGTGAGTAATCCTGAATAATACAAAATGTTTTAAGGTGGTGGCTATGCCGTTCACAACCAATGATTGTCAGTTTAATATTGCCGAAAAGTATAGAAAATAAGAAAAAAACAACCACAAAATTAATAATTACATGATGGTTAATGACAGGACAATTTTGTAATACTCATAGTGCTGATAGAGTAGGAACCAGTGGATACACAAAAGAAGGAATAGAGTAAAGTACAAAAAGGAAGCCAATGTTAATATTTTAGGTAGCTAAGTCTGTTTAAGAAGGAGTTCACTAGAGAATACAAAATAAGAGAGAAATAAAAGAGCCTAAAATTATGTTGTTAATAACAAAGGAAGTCATAGGTTTCACGCTTAACATTGTCTCTGTCGCTTAGAACACGGGCCAAGTATGGTATCGTTGAGTTCCTGTACTTGGTTGTACGAGCATAGATTCTTTTATACTGATTTCTGGTTTTACTTGATGAGATACAAGGCGAGAGTTGGGAATAGAGGGGGTGTTGGGGGTCTGAGAGTATGGTTTTTGACCATTTTTCACATGTATTCAGATGCCTATCAACTAAAGTAGTCACGAGCTGACTGAGATTAACACCACTAGTCCTACTAACTACTGTCAACATCCTTCTCAGGATGGAATAGTCCTTTTTCAGTAGACCAGGAATTATTAACGGGGAGCAGTAAAGTAGAATAGGTAGGATACAAGAGTTGACAAATTGTGAAAGTAGAGGTTGGGTGATTCCGGATTGTCTAAGTTTCTTAATGTAGTAGGTAAGACAGAACACTTTCTTAGAAATCATTAGGATATGAGATGTCCAAGTAAGGTCAGAAGATAGAACTAGACCTAGGTATTTTGCATTAGACTTAGTTTCGATTTTAGTCCCCTCAATGCAACAGGCTTCATGAGAACTTACTAGTGTTTGTAGATCTCGTTTATGCCTAAGGGAGAAGTCAATAGTCTGGCATTTTAAGGGATTCAGCATGAGACCATTTAGTTTGGACCACTCACTGATGTCCGACAGGAAGCTATTTAATTTGAGACAGTCTGACTGAGACTTAATGGGAAACGATACAGACAGGTCATCTGCATATTTGACGAAGTTGATTTCATCTGAGAGAGGTAAATCATACAAGAAGAAGCAAAAGAGAAACGGAGAGAGAACAGCACCCTGAGGAACTCCAGCTTCAGTAAGCAAAGGAGAGGAAGATGCACCATTATATACCGTGTACTGCATCCTATTAGAGAAGTAAGAGTGCAGCCAGTTGATAACCCAGGGCTCAGTTTGTGCTAGGCTAAGCTTGTTTAACAATAGGCCTCTATGTACAGAGTCAAAAGCAGATGTATAGTCAAGGAACGTACAACGGACAAACTTGGCCCCTTTGTCTAAGGAGGATACAATGTTGTGATGGAACACAGCAGCAGCGTCCAAAGTACTTTTACCCTGTTTGTAGGCAAACTGCTTTGGATCGTTTGAGAAACTTAGGGAGGGAACAAGTTTTAGTAACAATAGTTTCTCCATTAGTTTCAAAAAAGGAGAGGTAATAGCGATAGGTCTGAACTTAGCATTATTACCAGAGCCTGACTTGGGTACAGGGATGATTTTAATATTTTTCCACAGAGAAGGTACAACATTATTAGAAAAAGAAGTATTTAAAATGTTTGTAAGTGGGTTGCTTAAAATATCAGCACATTTCCTTAGGACAATGACAATGAAAAAGAACAACGGCCTGATCATTTTACCAGTTGTAATATTAATAATAATAATAATAATGTGCACATAATTAATTAAGACACCCTACTGTGTGCATGTGTGTGTGTGTGTGTAGGAGGAGGGGCGGTGGATAGTTTATAACAATAAAAGATAATGATTTGTAGTCAATAGTTGTTATCGCATAAGTAGGTTTATTAACAAATTACCCCCTCCCCTCGCGGCCTTATTTTGATTCCTGTATTCATGAGA